AGAAGTAAAGATGGTTTGAAAGGAAACAGCAGAATTGTAATGACAATAATACATACATCGCATTCAATAGTCCTTTTAGCATGCCTAACGACAAGTGGATCTTATAACTATATGAGCACCAATAATTGCGCTCGTCTTTCGGGCTCGGGATCATAGGTTGAAATCAGCGCCTACATCAACCAATTAGCCCATAATTACCAAATGCAATGATTAGTACCTGATAATATAGGTTACCAGCTTCAGAGATCAATTTCACAATAATTTCGCAAGAGATTTTATTCAAGTTCTATAATTCGCGTACATATTTGGGTGGATAGTGGCTGGGGAAGGGGCTTTGCGATATTGTGGAAAACGCTACGCGGATTCCTTTATGTTTGGTCCCACTTGAAACATTCAAGCTTGAAGAGACCCATCTATCTAGATTAAATACGGTGTTTTGAAACTCGTCTATAGAAGTCCCCAAGATGTAGCAGTACATGTCGGTACATGTATCAACGATATATGACTATGAGATGTGGGACTCGCCGATATGGTACCCCGAGACGTGAAATTAGCGGTACGGGACTCGACCAAAATGGAGCTGTGGTGTAGGAATTCGGCAAGGTGAACTCTTCCAAAATATGTTGTGGGGTAAGGAATCATAGTTGAGGCAAAGCTGTCTGTTACATTCAGCATGAGAGTGGGCCGACAGAAAGCTAACATCAGCGACTCCTGGTCGGCAAAGCCCAGGTCATCCATGTAGCCTAGATCGGCAAAGCCAATGTCGCCGAAGTCTGGGTCAGTAAAGCCTAGGTCGGCGAAGCTTAGGCTTACGAACCAAGGTCGGCGAACGCTGGATCGGATAAGCCCAGGTTGTTGAAGTTGAGGTCTTCGAAGCCAAATTTGTTAAAGTCTAGCTCAACAAATCCTAGATCGACTTAGCCCATATCGTTGGAGCTTCGATCTTCAAATCCTAGTTCGGCAAAGCCTCGGTTGGAGTGATGAGATTGATGGACGCGTGCCACCAGCAGAGGGTGACAAAAGATACCAAAACGTATAGTTAGGCACATTCATTGGTAAATGGTAGAGCGAATTGTAGAGCGAATTGAAGGCTCATAAAACGGCTTCACAATGTAGCAAAAGCGATAAGACTAGAACAAAGTACTGTTGTTTAAGTCAACGACACGCGTACACTTTTTTGGCAAAATTTTGCGCAAGCTAGATTATGCCTGGCGTGGAACCTCGAGAGACATAGCTTGTAGATTTTTCGAGTTGGTAGCATCAATAGATTAGAGACCCGGGTCGGGGCTGGGTAACACTTTATACCATCGTAAAAAAGAGCTTTGTAGACAAAGCGCAGTGAGCATCAGCAGAAGGCACCGTTTTATAAAACTTTTGAATGACGATCGTGTGGGTATCAGCCGAGGCTCCGTTATTCTTCCCTTCTGCGTATACTGCTCACCGTGACCTGTGAAAGTGAGTTAAGAGTCAACGTCCATTCGTCGGTGTCAGGTAATACGAGTGTGAGGTTTAGAAGCTGATAAGCTCAGGCAGTCTTCTGAAGAAAACAAGGTTGTGAGAACCGGTTACGCTAAACCCCGACAACGAACCCGAAGGGCGAACCACGAAGGGATTCATCTAAACGTGCTAGCACTTTTTTCTGAACTAGCTTGGCGAATGTTTGAGTTGTGCGTTGATGCTTATTGACTAATGATTATCGGCTACTGTACCACATTTGTGTTTCGTGATAAAACGTGAAAGTACTGCTAAATTTTGCGTGTCGAAGCTTTTTGAGAATGAAGGTGATGTCTGAAGGGACGAATATGAGAATGGATGATGTTGGATGTTCCTGTTTAATAACTCTTGTAAGGGATAATTAAAGCCAACGATATAGAGTTGATTAGTGAAAAAAGAAGAAATAGTGTAAGGGAGCTCCATTTGCCACCAAGAGACAATTCTTACTTTTCTAGTTACACAGTATTACGACTAAAAGATTATACATTTACTTTTAGTTGCTGCGGATGCGAGATTTTAGCTGCCTCTAGTGTAGCGCATTGCTTGATATCTCTCTGTGCGCCCTTGGTCCCTTTATAAAGCCAATACCGTATGGACATAGGTGCTTATGCAAATTCTAATCGATACGTAGGCGGGCGCTTAAAGCTGCCCCGCACTACCTTAACACACACCTTCAGGTACCTGCGAGGAAGCGGTTTTACCGTCTTCTGTGTGCAGCAAGGTTCAGGTGGGCGTCTCACGACCGCCTCACCGATAGATGAACGCTTGCCGTTCGGTGTGGCTCGGACGCGGTTTCCCGTCCTCCAGCCCGCTCGTTACAAAGATCGCAAATTAAAGACTGATTGCTATTGCATGAAATAAACAGAAGTCTAAAGTGTCATTGGATAGAAGACAAATGATTGACCGCGCGCTCTGACGAGACGCCGTCTCTACTGCGCGCTTGAACTGAATGTATGCGCGCTGATGACGTATCTCAATGAAATTATGTAACTACGTCAAGTAGTGGCGTCATCCGTGTCTGTGTACAAATTTGAGGTAGTGAAGCAAATGCTGTATTCCAACCGCATGAAGGTCGAAGTGTGTACCGCACCTAGAAGCTTCTCAGACTCTTCCATGCCTTTACACGGAAAGTCTCATGCAACGGTTCAACCCCGTCATTTTCTATGCAATCGCAATTCGGGGCCCACCCGAAAAGTGACGACACCTACAATGCAGATTTACATTTGAGGAGGGAGCAGGCTACATCGCACTTATTACGACGTGTAAGGTACACCTAGCGCTATTTGTACACTCACAGACGCACACAGACACACAAACAGAATGTAGGTTTTTGCTTCACCCGTCTGGCTTGCCATGACGATATTCCAAGAGGAATGTTTTGACATCGCATTCTCACTGTTTCGACCTTCTGTAAAAATCGTGGAACGGCCACACCCCGTTACAATTTTCAGTCGAGACATTCTTCGACAAGCTCTGGAGTTAAAGGACCGTGATAAAATGGTTCATCACCCCGAACTGCTTTATGTATGATCTCAGCTGCTGTAAGTGACTGTGCGCAAGGTTGAATGTCGAACTTTTTAGTCGTACTTATCTGTGTCGGTCTGTCGGTCTGTCTGTCGGTCTGTAAATAACGCAGTTAGGTGTACCTACCCGTACTAAGTGCGATCTAGCCTGTCCCCCCCCCGCAGGTATCGGTAGATCCGAAGTCACTCTTTGGCTAGGTCACTATTATGGTGCAATAGTGACCTGGCCAAAGAGTGACCTCGGATGCTTGTGATTGCCTTAAAATCGATCAAAGGTGAATATGATCACATGAACAAATGCTGGACGCTTGTAAGCAAAGGCCGATCACGTTGCCTGAGTAAACTGTACTAGGTTAATGTAGACAGTAACAGCATCCTTCTTCAGTGACTGCTGCTGTTGTATAATGTTTTGCAATTTGATTCATTTCTATGAACGGAAAAACTCAGGTCAAAGGCCGAGCTCCAGAGCGTGCTCCCCTATCTGAAGCACTGTAATGCGCAGCTAAACGCGACTTTGATATCAGCACCACCTTGCGAGTACCGCAATAAAAGCACCAAGCTCACAAAAAATGAGCGATCGCGCCTCGCACCGTGTATCAAACAATCACAAAGCACACAATGATCAAAAGCAAGGTTATGCTTACAAGGATAACGCGTGCAGAGCAGCCACTTTATCGATGAGTACAATATTCTGGTCGCACAGGTTCTGAGTCATGAATGCAGATTGTTCAGCTCCGTCTCGAGGCCAGCTGCATTCTTCTGAGTAGACGTCAGGTAACACCTTGTGATAGAGAGTCCGAAAAACTGAGAACGCGCTTCATGTAAATACATAGATCGGCACCGCAAATTCCCTTTTGACCGGCCAACATTGTACATCACCGTCGTTTCAAGACAGCCAATGCTGCCAGTGTTGACCCAGTGATTAATTCACCCCTTCAGCCTTCGTCGTCTTTGGCAGTAGTTGCCGCCACGATCAAGTTTTTCGTCATCAGCCCCGCAAATTTCACCATCCGGGAGCCCCATTCCTTCCTTTTTGTCGCCTTTTGATATCTTGATTCGTTTCACGAACGTTCTCTTAGCAGTACAGATCACCATGCGCCAATTCTGAAGCGCAGTTACTCATGCTTGAGCTGGGTAGTAGTACCTTGCACCACACCACCGGCAAGGTTTGCAACAGTTTATCGTCATTCACCGGCAAACTAGCACTGACAGTCTGTTTCCCGTATACCTGTCCCACATGCGTGCGCAAAACGTGCGAATCACCTTTCAAGCAATCCACGTGTTGCAATGTTGTAGCTTCGCTCTCTTCGTGTGAAAGTCAACAGAACTCTCACAAATGTCAACTAAATTCGTGCAGTCACCATGACCCGTCTTCTCGTACCCCGCCTTCCTCCTCCTTGTGACCGTTACCAACTACCGTCGCTGATGTACCAACCATATTTTAATAGCACATCCATGGTGACCCTCTTGTTGAAGACCAGTTTACCATCCTGATGGACAAGAGGCCCCAACGAACTGATACAATGGGTTTTCTTTCCCAATCTGTGGTAGACCCTTTCCGCGCAAGAAAACTGAATAAGGCCCGGTCAACGTAATAGTCGCGTCAAGGATATCGCGTCAGATTTGGACACGAACTGAATCCACGTAGCAAATATTTGTTCGTTAAAGGTATAGCTTCGCAAAGTACCGAGGCCACAGCGATTGGCCATGTACTATCACAACTACCAGCAGTCCAATTTCAGAAGTCCATGACCAGTTGCAAAAAAAGTCGTGCGATATTAACTTCAACAAAACCAGATCCTTGCAGAATTTTCCACTCATGGCTTCTCCACCAACTCGACCACAAGTTCAAAAATTCATTTCTGGAACAACGTGTCAAGCAGCAGTCAAAATCAATTTGACGCCTAAAAAGTAAGCTTCAAATTGATCCCGACTGCTGCTTAATTTCCACCACGGCCAAGGACGACGCTGGCAGTCAGTGCGTTATGGCACGGCTGTAGACGTTGACGATGACGAGGCACGAGTAGCAAAGTTTCGCGTCATAATAAAATTTTCATACTTAGCGTTGATCTCGAGCGTCCTCTTCGCCTGCTCTTCTGGCGAATTCCATAACTTTGGCATTTCTACCACGTTTAATGCCATGGACTGGGCACGGGGTAACTGAAAGCGCTTCTTGTGCGGCAAGTTACCACAATACTTGGGCAGTGACGACTCTTTTAAGTGTGAACACGAGGTCAGTGACGCTCGCTCGTGATCCACTCTTGCTGCGAGCTCTGCACTCGCAGGATCGTACGTGTATAAAATCTTGGTTTGGGGCTGTTTCTTGAGGTTGCCGGATGAAGCAGAATGAAGTAGTTCCAATTCTCGTAACGAGAACCGTGGCGGGTGGTGTTGCGAGTACTCAAGCGGTTTGTACTTCAACTCCCCCGCACTACCTTCGTCTTTCGTAATCTGGTGTACAACTAGCCGCGCCTCGTAAGATAGCTTCATTTGATGCACCGGATCATAAACACGAGCAATACGCGTCGGATCCAGGTCGCACGTCATGCCTTTCAGTGGCAAATTACTGTAAAAGGCTGATACAGCAGCCTCGATTGCATCTGTTGGTACGAACCTCGGGGCAAGTCGCGTGGCGCAGTGTGTAAACTTGGGATCCAAGAGTACGTGAAACACATGGACAAGATTGGAAGGCGTCAATGCATCTAGCTCCAACGGTTCGACACCCGCTCCTGCTAGGACTAACGCCTGACCCCACATTCTCTGAGTGATGTTACGCAGGACCACGCATGCAGGTTTTCCTGCAGACAAACACGTAGACGTAATGGAAAGGTCCCCCCAGTGCATTGCAGCATGCACGTGTGGAAGGATGCGTTTTACTGGAAAGTGCTGGTCAATCTCAAACACTGTGTCTGTGCCACCCACAAAGAATGCAGCATCATCATTGCTGTTTTCGTACCCCTGGAATATCAGTCGCACATTGGCCTTTTGGGCTGCCTTGTGGAGAGTGCCAACCAGATCTTGTACGCGTCGTGGGTCCCAATCGCCACACTGGAAGCCAAAGTAGAGAAGCGGCATATCAGGGCCGTTCTCAGCAAATGACTTCAGCTCTTGCTCAATTTCATCAAGGCCGGTGTCGTCAGGATTACTCTCTGTAAACTCTACATAACCTGTGATTGCAATTTCACTTCCCCAATCGTGAGGCTTCGGCAGAAGCATTGAGTCCCAAAGGTATGTGTGCGGGATGCGCCATTCAGCAAGTAAATTATTCGCAATACTTCTATCCGTGAATCCCAAAAAATACCGAAATTCGTCCAGCACATCTCGCGAACTGTCCCACAACAGATGGTCGACCACATCATATGATGCTGCGTTCGTAGGTGAGTAACGATACGGTCTGTATAGCCTCATGTTGGAGCTGATCAGATGAGGAAAGGCCTGAGTGCGAGATTGCGGGTTGTAGCTCATGCAATGCAGAGGCACACCGAGACGCTCAGCCACAATGGTCTGCCCAAGCAGATACGGATGTGCAATAATGGCATCAGCTCGAAAAGCCTTTCCAGGCTCTAGTGGGTCTACATCCACACACGCCGGCCAAAGCGAGAACACGAGATCCCGTAAGTCATTCACTTCCGGGAACGGCTCCCGCCAGTGGCTGAGCTTCGCGTGAGCTAGGTTGAGCAATCGAGACTTGTGACGAGGCTCACTCAGGGTCCGCTGGTACAGGTACTGCAGAAAATTTCCAGTTGTGATAGCGCTTCCACCTAGAGGATAGAAGTTGAGACCAGCACTAGCTATGCGACTTCGGTAGCCGCTAGTAGTCGCGATGCGCACACAGTGACCATCTGCTTTTAGCCGCATTCCAATAGCGACATACTGTTGAACACTCTCTTCCCAGCTACCTGTTGTCATCATGCAGATGTTCATTTTTGGCATCTGGTTGCTGAACAGACTCTCCAAACGTTCTTTCTGCATCGTTTCTTCTCTGTGTGCCTCAGCTGCTAACTCCCAAACTTCAGCCTCGTGAAGCGCTTCGCCAAGCTTTTCGCCATCGTTAAATGAGATTTCAAATGAAGTACTACCACTATAAGTGGCTCCGCCCACGTTCGCAGAATAATCCGCTGAGATCAGTGGCGTGCTCTTAGAAACATCAAGCAATTCTAGCCTGTGTAATTCGCGCTCCTCTACAAGCGCCATGAACCGTCCCTCTATCTCGCTCTTTTCTTCTGTTGTAAGCTGAACCGCGATTTGCGCAGATAGTTGATTATTCGGATCAACTTTTTCATCGGCACACATCGACCCATTGTAAACATTGTTATGAGTCTTAATACCCAAAGCGTGAAGCAGCTTTTTGTTGTCCGCAATAAGTAAACCCTTCCTGTCGTCATCCCCTCGAACATTGTTGTACGCCCCGGTCGCAAAGTGATCAGCAAACACTACCGTGCCTACCAATGGGCTGATGATCAGTCCACCCAATCCTTTTACGAGTCCAATCACAGCGCCCTTTGCCCCCTCCTCCCGGTAACCTTGCGCTGGCTTGACAATCACATCTTTTATACCCGATCCGAACACGTGGGCAAACGCACCCACGCCAGCAGAAGCACCCTCAAGAACATTTTCTGGGCCGCGTGGCGAGTAGTCGACAAAGGTGTACTCTACGATATCCGTCGGCAGATTTTCAGAACGAGAAGTCACGACATATCGACACTCATCACACAATCGGATTTTTTCTTTTTGGCTCCACGTCGTTGCAGCTCGTCCGCAGTCCAAGTCACATCGCATGTGATGCAGAGGCAAGTTTCGGTAGAAACACCTCACAGCTTCACCTGCGCCATCCTCATGGCGCATAAGCTCCTGCAGTACTTTTGCGCGCGCACGAAGCTGCTGACTCTCTAGTGCCGCAAATGCAGTGCAAAGTTTTTCCGTTGTCAGTTGGGAAATTGGACAAGGCTCCACGCCAACACCAGCATCCAGGACGGCTCGGCCCCAAAAAGGCTGATCTCCGAAAAACGGAACGACAAAAGTAGGTTTGCCTGCAAGCAGGCCTGCCGCTGTAGTGCCTGCTCCACCGTGGTGCACTACTGCTGATACGCGTGGCATGAGCCAGTCGTGTGGACAGCTGCCAAGAAAGAAGACATTGTCTGGAATCGTGAGATTCCCTGCCATATCGCTCCAGCTTGATTGAATCAGTACCCGGACATTGACCTCCGCAGCAGCGTCGATGATCATCTTTGTCACACCCTCTGGGTCTTGAATGACCATTGATCCAAAGCCCACAAATATTGGTCCATCACCCTGATCGAGAAAAGCCTCGAGTTGTGGTGATGGTTTGTACGTGGAACTGGGTCCTTCCAACGTAACTGTTCCTATGACATCATAGATTTTGCCCCAATCGTTTGGTTTTGGTACAATATGCGGACTCCACATGAAGGCATGCGGAATGGCAAGATCCAGTAGAAGGTCGCGACCTCCATCCCCCTTGCGAATTTTGCGCAGCTCCAACTTATCTCTACGGAACGCATTGACCATTCCTTCGGTTGCCTGCCACATGAGTAAATCAACCATCTTGTACGACATGTAGTTTACCTTTGTAGCCTTTCCAGAGTACGGCAAATTGGACAACGGGTGCGGAAACGCTGTCGTGGGCACCCACGGCTGCGGGAACATAATATGCAGCGGAACGCCGAGTCGTTCAGCGACGTGAATGTGTCCGTACGTGACAGGGTTCGAGATAATGGCTTGTGCTCGAAACGGCTCGCCCGGGATGCCGGGGCCTCCACCGTCGGGATCCGCTTCAGACACTGCAGGCCAAGTGGAGTAGAGAATCTCTTCAATCATCTGCATGTTCCGTGGCACGTCTTTCTGGAGTGCTTCCAGGTTAAAAGGAATGAGATGGCCACCTGTCTTGACCATGTAGGCCGAGAGCTCTTTCGGGTCTCCTGCCAGTGGATAAAACTCGACGTTATGCGACATGACCAAGTCACGATACGCTACATGAGTAGCCAGCCGCACGCGGTGTCCATCGAGAATGAGTCTCTTTGCAATCGCCACAAATGGCTGCACATCTCCGTGAGTGCCGACAATCATGAGACAGATGGTCATAGCCGGCACGTCATAGTCGGCTCGACTGCTCCGACTCGTCGAGCGCGTCGACTGCTCCACGTACTTGTTGGCTTGTTCCTGTAGCCCCGAAATGTCATAACTCTCGTCGTCTTGGGCAAAGTCCATGTAAATGTGGCCGTGGCGATCATAAGCAGCTGCCGCCTGTACGACATCCGCAACAGACAAGCGTGTCTTGTCTCCACTAGCGCCTCGTCTCTCGTCTGTAATCTTCTGTACAGCACGTGCGAGGGCTTCTTTCCATCGCTGCGGATAGAAATGATCATAACATGGGTACATTTCTATACGTTAAGACCATCACTCTGTCTTTCGTTCCGCACTCATCGTCAGTGGACACACCTTTGGCTGCTGTTCCTGTTCTGATACATCGACTGCTGTCTGCGCGTCATCAACTGAGTCACCTTCTTGCGGGTCCGCAACGTGCGTTGCTGCTTCTTCTCCGTGCGTCTCGAGCGTCGCCATCTTAGGCGTCGCCCTCCCCTCTCACTCTCTTTTCTATCTCTTTTATCTGATAGCGTGGGTGCCCAAATTGACCTGGACCTTCACAACGTGATAGATTGAACCCTTTGAAAGCTGATCGTTTCGATTCACGTGCTGCAGCTTTGGTCGCTTTCGAGGGGCTGCTTTAGAAACGACATCTGGTTTCACAAAAGTGGGTGGGTGGGTTTGTAGAGAGCAGCCACACTGTGTTTCATTGGCTGAAATGTCGCTGCAACTTGACGTGTGAGACCGCATCAGGACGTCGCTGGCACTATTGGAAGAAAATGGTGAGACAAAGAGTGGACCGGTTACATCACGCCCTTCGGAGCCATCCGGCTCCTCACAACCCTACTCCTGCAGTTGAAGTATAGACCGTCTGCCCATCTTTCATTGGTCGTCGACCCAAGCGACTTTTGATCCCAGACAAATGGATACTTTTTAGTGTACCCATGTGTCAAGTCTCTTTTGGCATTGTGAGACGTCGCGTTCGTCAGTCTCCATTAACCCTCGAGCTCCATAGCGCCATAGCGTGTCTTACTGTTAGTCCCCCTTCCAAGACCCTGAAGCTGCTGCATGACGAGCAACAGTCGACGGCCGTGCTCCTCCTCAGTCTCTTATCGAGCCGGCTCGATTCTACGGCCACGCTTGGACCAGACCCATTCCACAAACAATGGCGAGTTCCGCCGCCGCTCGTCTTCTCCTCAAGTTTGCTCCCTCCAGCGGCGCGCTGACAGCGTCATGGAGCGAATTATGAACCCTCAATTGGACCGCAAGTCACCCTCGCATGGCCGTCGATACTGGCCGCGGCCGACTCGATCGGAACTTCCTGCATCATTTGACATCGTTCTTTCGACAGCTTCACCTCGCTACACGACGCAGTTGTCGACTGGCGAAAAGGATCAATCGACGTACGCAAAGTCTTTGGCTTTTGATGAAGGGCTGCACTCGGTCTATGTAGCAGACTACCCAAGAGGGCTGCGCGGTCTCTTTGTGCTCGTGCAAAGTCCGCTCCTACTAGTTGCTATCGGCATCTTTGCAGGGAGTGTGGGACTTGTGGTTGACATGTGGAGTGCCGAGATTGCTCGGTACTACCAATGGGTCGGTGACCACGGATTTGGCCTGTTCGTGGCGTCCGCGCTCTTTGCTGGAGGCTTCTCAGCTCTTCTGACTCAGTGTGTTTGTCCGCAAGCTGCAGGATCAGGTCTACCATTCATGAAAGTGGCCATTTCAGGTATCAATATGAGCTCGTACCTCTCCTTTCGCTGTGTTGCTACGAAGATCGTCGGACTCATGGCTGCGTTGGCCGCAGGGCTGTCAATCGGCAAGGAGGGCCCTTTGGTCATGATTTCATGTGGGTTTGCTAGTGTCCTAATGAGCTGGAGCCCATTTCACCGCATTCGCGACGATGATGCTAAGCGTTTAGAGATGTTGGCGTGTGCTTGTGCTGCTGGTGTGTCTGCTACGTTTGGATCCCCTTTTGGAGGCGTGCTGTTTGGGGTCGAAGTGACGTCGCATTTTTACCTTGTTCGGACGCTGCCCCGGTCATTCTTTGCGGCCATCGTGGGAGCCTTAATAGTGGGGTTTGGTGCAGCTAATTCACGATATGGACTCTTCGGTAACCGAAGCATTGCAATTAATGCAGACACTAACGCCGTGAAGGGAAGTGGGGATCTTTTGTGTGCGGACCTCTGCTTGTTTGCGCTCATGGGTATATTTTGTGGTCTTGCAGGTGCCTTCTTTAACTATACCTTGTCGATACTGGTGCGAGCTCGCGACCGCTTTTTCCAGCCTTCGTTGTCAAGCTCACCGCGTGTAGCCTGGTGGAACGCTCTCGGAAAACGGTTGGGACTTGTGTTAGCTGTAACGCTACTGTCATGCTGGCTTGAATTCTACGGAGACAGTGCGTGGTTTATGCTGCACGGCTCTCCTCGGCGCATTCTTGACGAGCTGTTCTCGAAACATAAGCGGATCTTCGCCAGTGACAGCGCTCGAAAAAGCACGACTGAACAAAGCTTATTGCTTTCGAGGTCGCTGCTAACCTTTTTACCGCTTAAGTGTGTACTCACGCTCATTAGCATTCTACTGCCCGTACCGGCGGGTTTGTTCACCCCCACTTTCGTCATCGGTGGCATTTTTGGCCGACTTGTTGGCGAAGTCGTACGTGCGTTTGATTTCATGAGCACGAGCTATGAGCCTTTCGAGTTTGCAATTATCGGAGCTGGAGCCTTCTCCTCAGGTGTGACGCATGCTATATCGACAGCAGTGATGATCATGGAAATCTCACATACCGATGGACTGAACCTGCCCGTTTCTGTGGCAACTCTAGCAGCGTATTTCACGGCCAAGCGATTTACCGAAAACGTGTACGATGTTCTTATCGTGACGAGCAATCTGCCTCGACTGAAAAAACTACCGAAAGCTGCTTACGACATTTCGGCCTGGGAGGTAATGAAGGATGTTGCTGAGATGGGAGTGCTCAGTGCTGACTCAACCTATGAAGACGCATTGGTGCTGCTACAGCGCTCCGACATGGACCTTGTATTTCCGATTGTAGACTCCCTCGAAAATCGCTTCCTGCTGGCTACAGTTACGCGTTCCCGGCTTGCAGACGCTGTGTCGCTTTGTCAACGCCAATCTTCAATGCTGTGTCCGCTGACAACTGAAGACTTGCGGCAACCGGTGGAGACAAGTGAAACTTCGTCGCTTCTCCTGTCTACTTCTCAGTCAGCCTCCTCACCCATCGCGAAGACAACTGGCGACAGCTCAGGGAGTCGCGCAGTCGCTCGAGGATCGTATGGAGCCATTAGCTCGATACCCCGTGACGACAACAGCGGCAGGTCATTTGACGACACAGTGGTGGACGGTCTCGATGAACTTAATGTACATTCATTGCGGACCCCCATCCATTTTGCGTTCTGCCGTGGTGGTAAAATCCTGGATTGGGTCACGAACGAGGTATGCCATCCGTCCGAGCTGACGGTGTTTATTGATCCCTCGCCCGTCCAGTTGATGGAGATGACGCCAATGCGTCGCGTGGATATGCTCTTTCGCATGCTCAAGCTCAACAACGTCTTCGTTGCACGCTCTGGAAAGCTAAGGGGTGTGATTAGCCTCGAGCGTATGATGACATTTCTTGGCACCACGACACCTTATCGGGCGCCTGGATTGCTGCGCACTCTCCGAAGCCTCTTCGTTCGGTCGAATGGTTCCAGACCCCATGAATGATTCGGCACTTTACTGTTTGTCACAAGGAATGTGGTAAGCCTCAAGGAGCTTAGTGACAAGCATTCTATTTCCACTCCAGCTCGTTCTGCAGCCGCGCGGTATGGGACAATGACATTGCAGGAATTCTCCACTTGGCCGATAGTGTGGCAGCATGGTGACCTGTGCAGCATGATTTCGACAAGTCCACAGCACTTTAGATTCCAGGCTGAACATTTTTTATAGTCCATACATTTCGCACTGTGCTCTTGTTCGTGAAAATGCACCTCCTTCGACCAGCCTAATGGGTACTCGGTATGTTTTGTACGTGCTTAGTACAGTGTGGTCTTGCGTACTCGGTGGCACTTGTGTTTCGACACGAGTTGGGTTGAGCTATTGCCATTCTCTCTCGTCTGCTCCATAGTAGTCCACTAGTACCTTCAGTAGCTTACCACCGCTTTAGCGAGTCAACCATCGTCAGGCTTGTAAGAGATTTAACTCATTGTCATGTCTGTGCTTACATCTTTCTAGCCGAGATGCTGAATCAAAGCCCACGCGAGAAAAGTGACGAGGGCTGCAGGTTCGTGTTGACAAGCAAGTTTCAGATTGATGATCAGCATGTCGTACGTTTATTGAGCATGGATTATCAGGTTTGCCTCGAACGGCTACGAAGGTCGCACCGTGTGGAGTGCAAAGGCGTTAGAGAGAGATGCAGACGTAGTGGCTTTCTCTGCCATATTAACTGAAGCTGCGAGCCGCAAGAGAGCAAAATGAACACCACTTCATCTTTCGGTTTCGAGTGTAGTTGCTATTATTTGGTTGCGATCACTTCCAGCATAGATCAGCCCAATATATCCAAGTTGACGACGTACCAGCTTGGAGTTGGCTTTTTGTGGATGAGAGCTTGATGAAGGCGTTGAGCCATTCGTCAAATCGAAGTAGGATGGCTCCTGCCTCTCTGGTTTTGCGGAGAGTTACTACAATCGACAAGTTGGTATATGTCGGAGTCCATCGTCCACATTGTAATATGTCGCGTGAAGAATGCTGGAGATGTTGGACACAAGGATCAAGCCAGCCCGAGCAATGACCTTATGCACCGAAGGAAGGGTATAAGGTCGAATAGTACCAGCTCACGTATACATCTTGTGGTCGCTTTTGAGCTTTGCTCTTCTATGGAGATTGTGTGGTCGCGGGTGACATATCGAAGTACGCTCCATGCGAATGGTACTGTTGGCAGAGGCCATCGACCATCGTCTGGATCACTTCTGCGTAATGAATGCATCGCGGTTAAAATTTGCAAGACGCGAAGATGTTTCCAAGCAATCTGATATTTTGCAGTTGTGATGTCGAGGAGAGGCAAAGCCACGGCGAGAGCTTACAGTTTACGCTTGAAGACATTCTGACTTCTAGTGGGTCAGCAGGAGTCTCTTCCATCTCCTCCTCCTCCCCGTTCTTTCTTCGTTACCTGTATCAATGGCAATCGCTTACATCATCTGACAGCTCCTCATGAGTTGTGATGCCGCATGCGAAGAAGCCTTGTGCATGACACCAGAGAGAAATGGCTGTGCTAACAAAGGAGAAGGACAGAAGGCGTGATGTAATCCGTAGATACGGCCTTCATATTGTTTTTGAGTGACCTCATGCCCTTCGAAAATGCTGCAGTCATCCAGGCCTAGCGTCATCACGTTGCTTTGGTACTTCTCATCAGTCACTTGGCTACCGTCAAGGTCAGAAACATCACTGTAACCTGACCATAATCAAGACAATCGATGCCACAAAGCAGGTCAGACAGCTTAATGATACAGTCTAAAGTGCATTCCACTCTAAGAAACGGTCGCTCTCATCTTTCGGCTAGTGCGCGTGGCCTGCCAGCGAGGTTAAATTACTTTGTTGAGCACGAGTCGAAGCGGTTGACTATTCTGTATGGTAGGTAGCAAGCACAACTGTCAAAAATGGACTCAAACACGAGATCTCATTGGCACTTCCATAGAAACCCGTCCAAAGCGATCTGCGCCTCACCACCAACGTCGACAGTCTCGGACCCGAGAGCGTGAGTGCAAGCAGCAACTTAAGCCACTCGAGTCCGAAGAACTCTGACACCTCTCGCCTCTCTCTAATTTCGCAAATAGAGCACTCATTCTACAGAGACTCAACGCACTTTGACTCTAATTACAGCTGCTCCTCCACGTCGTGTCTTGCGTCCACCGCCATGAACATGAACCAGCTCAAGAACGCGTCCAACCTGCACGCAGCTAACGCCACGAGCATCGTCGGCAATTCCATGGCCATTCCGTCCCGGTTGGGCGGCGCAACCAACAGCTCGATTCTTACTGCTGCACAGTCCACTGGAGGTCCCATGACCGTCTCTGCCGCCCAATTGAGCCAACTGAACCTCAGTCATCACGTTCGCAGTACGGCGTTCAAGTCCGGTATACCGGTACCAGGTAATACCGTGGCAATGGCAAGTACCGGTACTGCGTTGGCGGTATTAAATACCGCAGGGGCAGGGGCCCTCCAGCTATCCGGACGCTGGTCCCTCGACCGAGACGCCTCGGATTCGACAAATGACTACCTGGAAGCCATGGGGCTGCCCTTGATTGCTCGTCAGGCAGCTGATAAGCTCGACCTGATGGTCGTAATCAATCAAAGTCCTGGCGAGTTTGTCATCACTCGACGCACACGCATTTTCACCGAGACGAAGCAGCTGAAATTTGGCCAAGAAGTGAACGTCAAGAACAACCTCATTACCGTCACGGGGGACGCCACTCGGATCACGACTGTCACGCAGCTTTCCGGGTTTCGAGGGGTGCTGACGGACCTCCGCACTCTGGATGGACGAGGCCGGATGCACGTGGAACTGACGCTGACATTGCCGGAGAAACCGCCCGTGATTATCAGTCGCTACTTTACAAAGACGAGCGAGTCGACGTCGTTGGAAAACCTTCCAGCTTTCGACATTAGTCTGGAGACGGCAGGGGATGTCAAGCGCAGACGCTGAGGCTGTTGGTTTTGGTTCAGGTGGAGATTTCGGTCGAGATGGGTGACGCCGGCACGCCGGAACGGGGCAGTCATCTATGTGTACAAAAAAGCAGGGGTTCTTTGTATCGCAATGGAATGAATGATCGTTTGATTGTGCTAGAAGTGCTCGTGTTGCTGATTGCTGTGTAAGTATGTTGCTGATTGCTGTGCAAGTAAACGGGGGAACGTCGGAGAAGGTGCCTCTATTTTTTCATCTCTCGTTCGCTACTGCTTCCAGTGTGTTGCGACTCTGTAGGGTGCAACAAGTGAACGGCTGATTACTCACTCGGCACTGAAGAAAAGCTCACGGTGGACGTCGAACGCGTTGAAGCGCTTGGCTGCGTACGCGAGAAAATCAAAGTCGATCTTCGAGTGAGCTGCTTGGACGAGGGCCCAATAGCCCCAGAAGAGGTGGGAAGCAAGAGTGTAGCGGTTCACTACATTGTATAGCGCGTGGAAAAATGCCTTGGACTCACGGTTTGTCTCGAGTTCGGCCAGTAAATCGGGTGCGGCCGTGCTCATGTAAGCCCTGAAAAACGCAAACTGCTTCTCCATGCTCGGGTAAAGCGCCAGGTCCAGTTCGAAACCACAGTTTTCGCAAAAGTGGTTGGCAAAGTCGAAAGCGCGGTAGTTGTAGCCACCGTACTCGTAGTCAATAATCTGCACGCGATCCCAGTCTGGGTTGTGCAAGATATTCCCGCTGAGTAAGTCGTTGTGGGAGAACACGACGTCAGACGCAAACGCCTCTGCCTGTTCTGATATCTCGTCCGTGTCAAGAGATTCCAGTAAGTCCTTGCCGTTACGATTTTGGTTCGAGGGGAGCACTGATTTGAGCCACTGCAATTTCTGATGCAATCCTGTCAAGTCCACTTCCTGCAACGCCGCATTCTTGACTGGATCATCGAGCTTGGTCTCCATCGCCAGCTTCTCGAATCGCTCAATCTTGGTCCACAACACAGGCGCACGGTCCTCTAGGATATCCATGACGTGCATAATACCGAGTTCTCTTCCAATCATCTGCAGGTAATTGACGGGCTTAATCTGACCCATCTCCTCAGGCACCAACGGCCGTGCATCCAGCCAGCCTTCAATGCGGCCGTTTTTAAAGCGACCATAGTACGTGGGTGCAAATCCACGTTCTGACAGCAACGCAAACAGCACTATAACACCGCAACGGGATCAGCATGAAAGTCAGACGATGGAAACCCCAACGCTTTGCAGAAACAGATACGAACGTGCACGCACTGTTTTCAATGTCACGGTCAATGAACTCCTCCGTGTGGTCGCCGTAAAGACGCACAAGCACCGACTGCAGCAAACGTGGATGTCATACCCACAAGAATAGTCAGGTACGTGCGCATCAGCCAGGTCAGCACGACGTGGCAGCTATAGCCTCCAGAAGCTTTTTTCAAAAGACACGCAGTTGATCATCACACCTTGTTTCGCCACAGAAGGCGATAAAGGCGGTTCGTAATGCCACCAACGATGATCTTGACCGAAATATCGTCGTTTGCTGCGTCACTCCTGTCCGAATGGACACACTTTAGTAAGCCAAAACACCTCAGCCCTCGTCCACTGTGCACTGCTCTGTGACCATCTCTCACCAGTCAAGACAAATCTTCTTGACGACGACCTTGGCGTCAGTAAAGTCGTCCAGATCTCCAGCCCCCACGACATAGTCCAGACACGCATTGGCGTTGTTCAAATAGACCACTTGGAACACCCATTAGCACAACAAACAAACCACATGTTAGTAGACAAGAACGAGAGAAGTATTGCTGTAATTAGTGTGCATCAGAAAGTGTATCTATTTTCTACTTTTGATGATCCTATTTTTCGCACCGTCTTTTGGCATTATATCGTCGAAAATATCCGAGCTCGAGGATGGTTCAAAATGGCGATGATTGCTGTTGTGCTTGCTGCTGTATCGATGGGCGAGACGGCGGTTCAATCGAAAGCTTTTTCTGTCGAGCAGGAGAAAGAAGCCAGCGACAGTGAGCGCGCACGTGGTGGCGGAGACAAGGACGAGGGCGCGCCAGTTGAGGTACTGACCGGTCGGTGCGACTGCTGGCATGGATCGCGTGTCAAAAGCGGATTAAAATTAAGCTGGATGGCTGGATAATCCGATCGACGCAAGCGATTGGTGGAAATCGTCAAAAGATGAGGCTGCAAATAGGCGACGAGTTGAGTCGATGTTTAGTCCAGACTTGATTTTGTACGTCCAGACCCATTATTGTGCCATGTTATGGAAGCGAACACGTCGATTGGGCAAAGACCGGTATTGAGGTTTATTTCACGACGGCTTGGCAACTAACTATCAGGAGATCTTGTAGTATGCAGCACACAACTTAGCAGATAAGCAAAGGTTCGCACTGAATAGCTGCATTCTCTAGTTCCTAGGATGAAAGAGTCGATGAACCAAGACTTGAAGGATGTACCACCCCCAAGTCCTGTAGGAAAGCAAGGGATTTGTTACCTTGGTGGATTGGAGATTCGGCGCGATGTGTCGATTAGCGTCATTCGTTTAGATAGGAAGGCAGAGCGGCTGCGTAGCAAAATGGGTGGTGTGGATGGCTTTGGAAAAGTGTCAGGTAGAAGAGAAGACATAAAATGTGAATACAGAATCTAATCGTCTTTCTACTGCGCATACTACTTCCCACAGGTTATGAGCCCAAGTGCTCGCTGCAGACACCTCACCAAGGACCAACTTGTGCGAGGGACACCCCGTCAGAGAAGGCGCTCGATGCACGAGTAAGGCGCCGAAGAATTCATCGACAGGGATCGTTGACGGTGCGCGTGCAGTCGAAAAGGGTTTGTGCAAGGGTGGTGACGCGAGATGGTCTGAATGCGCGAGTGCTATCGAAGGAAGAGTCAAGTCAAGTGGTGACAAGTGTATTTGTGGTCAAGAAGAAGTGGAAACTACATGCAAGGCGAACGACGACTACGAGATGTCAAGATGTGACATGGTGCTGGACGATGGGGGAGCTGGAATACCTGGAACGCTCGGTATCATCGAGGTTGGCTGGAGCGCAGGGGCAAGACTCAGTCAAGATTCCCATGGTGCACGGATGCAGCAGTGAGGATTACAGGCGGGTCGATACCAAAGTGGTCTGCATCTCATGTCGTCGAGGGGGAGTGTTGTAAGTGCATGATGCACTGGATTCGACATCAGAGATTCGACCCATGATAGGGTATGTCTAGAATGTTCTTTAGGGTTCTATGCATTATTTTAGGTCGTACGGCAGCTAGACGTATGGATAGTTCTCACTTGTAGATTGACAAACCACTGATGAGGCCCCCGGCGGGGGGCCGAAACGCGTCTGGTGCGCGGTAATATACAAGTCATTTACTTTACTTAACTCCTACTTCTTACAGGTTATGAGTCCAATGGCTAGAGAAACTGAAGCGACCCCCAAGACACCAGGAGGTGTCGCGCGAGCTGCGCCAGGGCGTGTCTCGCCAGCGCGTGTGCCCTCATCGGGGGACACGCCGGGAGTCGTCGAAGTACCGCCCGCTCGCGAAAGGAGCGAGGCAACCGACGACAAGATCCTCGCGGCCCTCGCCGCAGTGACCGCCCGCCTGTCGAAGCTCGAGTCTTCACAGCGCGTCCGGGACGAAGATGAGAGGATGCTTGGAGCTGTCGAGAGCGGCATGTTTGCATCCAAGCTTGGAGCGAACATGCGTGGACGCCCCATGACCATCGACGCGCTTAAGTCGCTGGAGGAGAAACCAGCAGCACATCGCGCGCGGGAGCGCTGGCCAGAAAACGGTGAGTCGATGTTCGCCTCTCTCGCACCGCCGCGTGGACATCCGTCAGCCCAGCATCGCATGCCGGAACGATCGGCCGAGCCCATGGTCGCGCCGCGTCAAGAAGCTATGCCACCAGCGATCGGACACTACGGAATGCCGAGCGCTAGTCAGAGAAAGCTCAACATTCGCAAGTTCGATGGGACGGAGCTTTACAAAGGGCTTGGGAGCGGGTTCTTTGACTGGGGACGCACCTTCATGCGCGCTGTGAGCCTCGCTGAGGCGTCTTGCGGTTTCTCCTGGACGGAGGACGTGAAGGTGGACCTACTCGGGCATTTCTTGGCTGGTACGGCGGAGCGCTACTACCACAAACAGGTCGACACTTGGTGGGTGCAGCAGCCAAGACTCGAGCACGTCATGGAGCAGCTGCACCTAACGTTCAAGACGACCATCACGGCGAGTCAGGCCATGAAGCTATTCATGACAAGGAAAGAAGCAAGACGCACCTGGGCTGAGCACTTTCTTTACATGGTGGCTGTCAGCGACGCGCGCGGTGGCGCCGACTCGCTTGTGCTCGACAACATCGTCCATCATGCGTCGCCAGACCTGATGAATGTCATGCGCGCTAAGTACGATCCAACGCGGTCCGACTACCTGCGCCACGCTGAGGAGTTGGCGCACTTTGCGCAGTCTATCGAGCTCGGCAGTGGCGCGGTTGGTCGCGAGGTCGTTGCGGCGCATGTTGAGACGAAGCGTCAAGACACGCGAACGTGTTTCCGATGCGGGAGGACGGGGCACGTCGTTTCCGAATGCAAGGCAAGAGTTGTGTTTGATGATGAAACGACAAACACGAGTGTCAGCGGCGATATGGTACTTGCGCTCATGGAGAAAGGGTCAGCGGCTCGCACGAAAGAATCCAAAAGCAAGAAGAAAAAGAAATCGCGAGGCAAAGCGGTTCGTGCGAATAAAGTGCGAGCTGCGAACAACGCGGGCGGATTCGTGCTAGCTGCAAATGATGCGATTGGCATCGATCGAGGCGACTGGATACTTGACAGTGGCGCGAGCAGGCACCTCGTGAACGATGAGTCGCTGCTGAACGACTCGACCGCCTGCGTCTACGAGATCGCCATGGCAGATGGGGAGTCACTGCGGCTGACGCGTGTCGGGAGTGTGCGCCTTGAGGTCCTCGCGCGCGGTGTGAAGGTGACTGTGACTCTGACAGAAGTCTATCTTGCTCCACGTCTGGCGAAGAACATCGTCTCGTACGGGAAGCTGGAGAGCAAAGGTTTTGCCCTCGTGTACGATGGCAACAAACGAGCGCTAGCGCGGCGCAGCGACGGTACAGTCGTGTTTGACGTAGCGATTGACAGTAACGTGTTATACGTTAAGACGACAGCGACACGCGAGAGGCACAGAGCTGGAGATGCGATCGTGGCTGCGCTCGAAGCGCGCGCGATGGATGGTGATGCGGATGACATGCACGAAGCCTCGCTGCTGCACTGGCACCAGAGACTTGGCCACCTCGCGTTCGATACGATCGAGCGTATGGCGCGAGATCCGTCATCGGGTATTCGATTGACCAGCAACAAGCGCATGGCATGCGTATCATGCCTCGAGGGCAAACAGACGCGCAACACGCAGTCACAACAATACAGCGGCACCAACTCGCCAATCGACAGGATCGGCGGCGTCATCTGCTCGGACCTTAAGGGTCCCATGACGCCGCAGGATCGCCTCGGCAATCGATATATGGTGAACTTTATCGACCATAAATCGAACTATTGTCGAGTATTCCTTGCGCGCACGAAAGACGCGGCGGCGAAGCAGTTTGAAGCCTTCCTCGTCCACTTTGAGAAGCTCTTCGGCTTCAAGGTACACGTTCTGCGGACGGACGGAGGAGGCGAGTATGCAAACGTCGACTTGTTCTGTAAACGCACGGGTGTCGCACGCCAAGTGTCGGAAGCTCGCAACCAGGCATCGAATGGCAAGGCAGAGAGGATGCACCGCACGGTGCTAAACCTCTCACGCAGCATGATGTTCGCGAGCGCGCTACCGTTGCAGTTCTGGGGCGACGCGGTGCAGTACGCCGTCCACATCTTGAACCGCAGCCCGACGCGAGCCAATGCAAAGAGAGCGTCGCCTATCTAGGTGCTGACGGGTAAGTCGCCGGATCTGCGCAGCATCGTCGTCTTTGGGTCGTCGTGTAGCGTCTACCGGGACCCGCGCAAGAGCTCGCTACAGCGGCGCTCTCAGACTGGCATCATCGTGGGCGTCAGCGAGGAGACAAAGGGGTACAAGGTTCTTCTCCAGCGAGAGAACAAGGTGGTTGTAACACAACATGTGAAGAATATCTCCACGCTCTCGGATGCGCAGAACGCACAACTGTAGCGTGCGCTGGAAGTTGGCGATCGAGCCGATGGAGAGGCTGTAGTGGCGACCCGTGATGACAATATACGAGCGCGAGATTATCGCGGTGCTCACGAGAAGAGTAAGAAGCCGTGGTCACGACAAGCGCACGGTACACGAAGCGCATCAAAGCGCAAGCAAGCAGTTACGCGCCAGGAGGAGAGATCTGCAAGCGACGAGGTGGTCAACGCAGCCTTCGAGCGCGACCCATGCAACTATGGCGAGGCCATGCGGAGCTCTAAGCGCGCGGAGTGGCAGACGGCGATGCAAGAAGAGATCGCCGCTCTGGAGAGCAACGATGTGTGGCGCGTGACGAAGCGTAGCCCGGGCGTGAACGCTCTTCACTCCAAGTGGGTCTTCAAGACCAAGACAGGGGCCGATGGAGAGCTCGAGCGATATAAGGCGAGGCTTGTCGCATGTGGCAATGAGCAAGTGCTCGGCGTCGATTACAACCTGACCTTTGCCGCAGTGATGGACATCTCGACGGCAAAGGTAGTGCTGGCGCTCGCAGCAACCTGGGGCGTGCCGGCCAAGCATGGAGACATCCCGAACGCGTACGTGCGTGCCGAGAAGGAAGCACATCTCGACATCTGCTTGCAGGTGCCACGCGGTATGACTGTGTCAGAGAGCACTCTGCGCAATGTTGGCGCTATGCATCCAGGCGAGGTCGTCTTGGAGCTGCGGAGAAGCCTTTACGGGCTGAAGCAAGCCGGGCGCCTCTGGAGCCAGTTGCTCCATGCGCGACTCAGCGATGCGGGGTACGTGCGCTGCGTGTCAGACATGTGTCTGTACCACAAGCGCGACGGCGAAGAGCTGGTCGTAGTTGGCGTCTACGTCGATGATTTGCTGGCGACGGGAACGAGCGTCGCGGCAGTCGAGAGCTTCTTCGCGAGCCTGGCGTCGCTGTCAATCAAGGATCTCGGCCATGTCCACAAGTTCCTGGGAATGCGAGTGGAACTCGGGAGCGACGGCGCGTACCGCATCGACCAGGAGGAGGCCATCAAGGAGCTACTGCGTGCTCATGGGATGTGCGATGCGAATCCGACGAAGACGCCGATTGGAGGTGACTGCTACGAGGTCGTAGGCGACGACGCCGCGCTTCTTGGAACAACGAGCACGGGCGGTGGTGCAACCATCAACGCGTTCCAGTCCCTCGTCGGGAGCCTGCTGTGGGTCGCACGGTGCTCAAGGCCTGACATTGCCTTTGCAGTGCATAAAGCAACTAGGCAGACACATGCGCCGCGGGTACTCGACTGGAAGCTCGCCAAGCGTGTTGCTCGGTACCTAAAGGGGACAGCGATGCTCAAGCTCGAGATGGCGCCAGAGCGAACGAGCCGAGACGCGCTGCGTCTCGAAGCCTATAGCGATGCCGACTTCGCGGCTGACAAAGCGGACCGGAAGTCACTAACTGGAGGCGTCGTGCTTCTAAATGGGATGGCGGTGTCATGGACCGCGAAGAAACAGGGCGGAGTGAGTCTCTCGACGATGGAGGCCGAATTCGTCGCGGCGTCGGAGGTTGCGCGCGAGCTCATTGGCTTGCACCAGATGCTCGGAGAAGTGGGCATGGCGCCGGTTGTCCCTATGCTGATGCACGTGGACAACCAGGCAGCCATCAGTCAGATCGAAGGCGAAGCCTCGTCGATCAAGGCCAAGCACATCGACGTGCGGCACAAGTATCTGCGCGACCTCGCTCGTCGTGGGATCATCACGGCGCAGCACGTTCGATCCGAACTGATGATAGCGGATCTGATGACGAAGGCCGTCGATGCAAACAAGCTGGCGGCGCTGCGTAGCCTGATGCGGCTCGAGTAAGAGCGTGATGCGTATGAAGAGCTGGATGCGCGAGATGGCTGTGTCAGGGTATGGGTGTGGTGGAGGCACGCGTGAAGAGCTTCAGGATGAAGGAGATCGAGTATGGAGGAGATGAAGGACAAGGGCGTCTGCAACGTCCAAAAGGGATCGGAGAGGAAGAGAGAGGAAGAGAGAAAAGAAGGAAGAGACGAAAACGAAAACGCACTCGAGGAGGAGTGTAGGAAAGCAAGGGATTTGTTACCTTAGTGGATTGGAGATTCGGCGCGATGTGTCGATTAGCGTCATTCGTTTAGATAGGAAGGCAGAGCGGCTGCGTAGCAAAATGGGTGGTGTGGATGGCTTTGGAAAAGTGTCAGGTAGAAGAGAAGACATAAAATGTGAATACAGAATCTAATCGTCTTTCTACTGCGCATACTACTTCCCACAAGTCCGGTATCGTATATACCAGTCAATGATCCATTTAATGTGAGCGGTAGTAGTCGATTAAGTAGCCAGAAGAATGGACAGAAGAGGAGACGGACACATGTTCAGAACCGAGTGTTGCTCAGATCAACCTCTTGCAAAGAAGTACAGTTGTTGCAGTCCGCAAAAGATCATCTCCTCTTTGTCACTGGATGTTGCCCGAGCAAGCGCAAAAACTCACCACTGCTGCATCCATCGACCTGTATCATGTCGTGTTTCCATATCCCGCGATTCATAGTGCTACGTGTCGCTACAAAGCCTGGCAGCAATCAACAAGCTCGTGTTCGCGAACAATCGTCTTCGTATGTGATGCGTCCTATCGCCGAATGCATCACTACAACAAAATATTCGCAGTCGTTATGAGTAGAGCTTATTGGTTCAAGCATGCTAGCTCTGGTATTCCTGTACCACGTCGCCTCTACTACTTCGAAAAAGAGTCTAGGTGAGAAATACTGAAACAAACTGATCGATCATTGCGCGTCACTCCTTCATTGACGAATGGGTATCACCCCAGTCGCGTCCTAGACCCCGCTAATGCTCATAACTGTATTGAAACCGCACTTTTGCTCAAAGCAGCTAGCTTGTATCTACTAGACCAAATCTTTTGATAAAAATGCTCGTGATCCTGTCAGATAACATCGCCGCAATGTCCGCTTCAGATCTAATAAAACACAGTTGACAGCACCCATCATGCGTACCTACCGCCCTCTCCTCTCTTATACTCCCCAACCTCTCAATCTCCCCCCCCCACATACACACTCCAAAAAGTCCCCAGCAATCGCATTTGACAGGGGTCCATCCATCACCCACTCCTCCACCCAAAACCCACCCATCGTCCAAAACACTCACTCACTCACCCACCGTTCGCGCGCTTTTTCCCAATACAACCCATCCCAACGTCCAATCACAAGCCACTCACTGTCATGGCCGACGCCGTCGACCCCGCGCGCGCGCTCACGTCGCCGCTCCGCGCGAGTCTCTCGCGCCTCAAGCACGACGTCGCGACGTCCCTCTCGCTCTGCGGCCGCGACTTCGGACGCCTCGGCGCGGAGCTCGTGGCCGCTCTCGGTCGTACGCACGCGCGCGAACGCGCAACAGCCGACGCGCTCGCCCTCGAACGAGCGGCCCGCGGGTTGTTAGAATCGCACTTAAGCGAGAAACAGCGGCATCTTCGTGTTTTGTGCCGTGTCCGACCGCAGTCAAATTTGTCCGACCAACGGCCGTCGTGCGTACACGTCGCGTCGGCCCACGAGCTGAGCGTCGCGTCGTCGTCTCCTGGTGACGCTGCGACAGCCAAAAGCTTTTTCTTCTCGCGCGTGTTCCACGAGGAGCAGTCGCAGGCGACGGTGTTCCAGGAGGTGGCGCCGCTTGTACGATCGGTGCTGGACGGGCACCACGCGTGCGTGTTGGCGTACGGACAGACAGGGGCCGGCAAGACGTACACGATGGAGGGCTGCCACGAGGACGGGGGATTGTACGACCGCGCGGCGGCGCTCATTTGGACGACTGCGGAGCAGCAACAGCACGTCTATGACTACGGCGTGCAGCTGCAGCTCGTGGAGATTTACAATGAAGAGATTTATGATTTGTTTGCACGGTCGGACAAGGACGGCGACGGCGGCAGCTCTGGTCGTACAACTAGTAGTACGATTTGTACGACTGGTAGTGTGGTGTGTACGACGACGAGCAGTGCTGCTGGGACGAATGGAGGGGATCGAGGATCGCCGAGTGGTGCGTCGACGGTGGAGATTCGACATGGAGGCAATGGCGTCTACTTGAAGAATGTCGAGTCAGTTGCCGTGTCGAGTGTGCAGGAATTTCAGGACGCGATTGCTCGAAGTAAAAGCGGTCGGACGGTAGCGTCGAGCGACCGCAGTCATCGGTCGCACACTGTGTTGATGATTGAAATGCGACGGACGAGCAAGGCAAGCGGTGAGACAGATTCTGGCAGGTTGGTGCTGGTGGATTTGGCAGGTTCGGAGAGGCTGTTGAAGACTACGACTACGTCTGCACTGACTGTACGGGAAGCGCAGCATATCAACAAGTCACTGTCGGCAGTTGGTGACGTGTTGTCAGCGTTGCTGGCAAAGGAAAAGCACGTACCGTTTCGCAACTCGAAGCTCACGCATTTGCTGCAGGATTCGCTGAGTGGTAGTGGCAACCGCACGCTCCTGCTTGTACACGTGTGTCCTCAGAGCGACGATGTAAACGAAACGGTCAACTCGCTCAAATTTGCATCGCGCGTGAGTCATATTCAGATTGGGAAGTCGCAACGCACTGAGCGTGCTGAGATCGCGCGGCTGAATGGCGTGGTAGGCTTGCTTGTGGTGGTTTGCGGGCTCGAAATGGAGGGAATTGATCTCACTGGTATTTTTACACGTAATGTAGGTTGCGAACCAAGTATCCCAGATTCAAGCCCTTCAAGGGAAACTGAACGCAGAGCTAGAGCTGCGAAAAAAGTATGAAAAGCGACTGGCAGAGTACCGCCAGGACGAACATCGCCGCAGATCGAAGGGTGATGAGGCTAGGCGGATATTACAGCAGATGCGGACTCCGTCTCCGCCAGAACTACCACCCCCCGTGTCTGCGCGAAGGTGGAGTTTATACACTCGAAAGTACGCAGATCGATGTGCCCTGCGCTCGATGTTTGCTTATTTGCTTGACGCGTGCATCTAATCGACTTCACGTGCTATTGCCTGAACAGGACGAATGCACAAGGACTCAATGGTATTGAGAATATAGCGGAAAACATATTGCGTGGCAATGAGTCTTCGCCAGAAACAGTGGAGATGAGGGCAACGGGCAGCAGTAAGCCGAGTGGAATCTCTCCTCCGACAAATTTCTCGCGGCGTCTGAGTTTATCGGCCCTTGATCACAAAGATAAAGCTCCAACACGAAGTGTGAAAAGGAAGAGACCGTCAACGTCTGAAAACATCCGCAGGTACGACGAGCCTGTTAGGTGAGAGTCGTTATCACAATCTGACATCCTGACTGCTCTTTTGCTTCCACGACCAGTATTCTAAAGAAGCAGCACGGGAGCAGCGACAATGTCCATAGTCCCACGATGGATTATGCGAACGGTGACGGTAGCAACACAGCATCGAAGCAGGTTTCATTCGATTTGTCCGGTGTAATTATCGGATCGTCGTCTTGTGCGTTGCCTTCGCGTGAGCTCACCACGGCAAACACGCGTCGGGTGTAAGTGTGCGTACACTAGCTTCCGTCTGTCCGTTGCTATTCCCTCATTTGCTCTGATTTGCAATGCAGTTCTATTGGAGGAGCAGTGCGAGTACTTGCTGCGAACCCATCCGTGTCGGGAGCAATAGTAACCCAAAAGGTCGCGTCAACCCCTGCAAAGCGTGCCAAGCCAAAATCGATCGGGTGGCGGTAAATTTTTGAATCGATTGCAGACAAACACGAGACCAGGACAGCCAACGCGCGTGGCACGGGCGCGTATTTGAACGTGCGCATTCGTGAGCTCACTTGTGGAAAGAGTTGGCAAAGTAGTCAGCCGAATCCGATCAAAGCTTCAGCGTATCTGGCACAGTATTTCATGGACGACTATGACGGCGTTAGTGACGTTTGACGCAAGTAAAATAAGGCAAATTGATCCTTGTTTGCGATTGCTACGGTTCGTCAAGATGTCGTCGCTCTTCAGTGGTGTGTTTGGTGTGGGGACGTTCTAGAACCTGGCCGGACATCTTCATGGTTGCTCCATTACTCGACTTTGGCAGTGGTTGTAATGTGTTCAACCGACGCATCGTCAACCGTTGCTTTCGCCGTGCAAGTTCATCTGCAGCATCGACTTCATTGCGTGCTTGTTGGAACACCTACCAGAGATTGCATACCAAATGTCAACGTCAGTTGCTGCCTCCTGAACGAGGCCAAGGCAAGTAGGGAAAGCGCACCGTGCAGAAAGAGGCAAGTGTGGTAAAGAACTCGCTGGGGTTTCGATTCGGGTCTTCCCCAAAGTAGTCGAGCACACTTGAAACCTCCTTCCGTGCTCGCGATATCCCGTCCCCAATCATTTTCATTCGTGCATCGATGTCAGCAGCAGCAGCTTGCATCAACATCGTGGTGGCTTCCAAACTTCTTGTCTCGACAGATTGCTGGATTCCATGACATTGCAAGCATGTTAGTAAGTTCACAACGTTCCATCCTCAAGATGATTCGACATACCTTTTCTAGCATCCGTTGCTCGGTGGCGAGACTCGTCAGCCCTTTTTCCAGTTTCTTAAACTCTGCGTCTATTGTTACGAAAGACTCCCGTGCTGCAAGAGGAACACTTGGCAATTCCGCCTGGAAGTCAAGAACCTGAACGTGATTTTTCTTCATGAGGCGAACTAAGTAGTGCAACACTGTTGTCTTCTGATTCACCGCTTTGGTATGTCCTAAGCGGAGCAGGGAGTCGACGGTAAACCCCTTAATTCCATTGTCCTCTTTGCTTCCATTCAAAGTATTGCCCAGCTTGAGCACGATCGCCAGCAAACTTTTTAGCAAGCGGCTGCCCTTCACCTCTTCGCTAGCCTTCTGCAAACGTGACAAGGAAGTCGAAAGCTCTGCACTGCGGGACGAAAAAGACATCTTGAATATCAGACACTCCATTCGACGTCCGTAGCGTTCAACCTTTGCAATCTCAAGAGCGAATTTCTCAGCCTGTACTTGTCAAACATCATCCCAGAAATGTTAGCAGGCTAAGGAACACGCCCGCCATTTCCAGACAACTTACCTCGCCAAGCATCTCCTTGTCACCAGTATATCGAGAAACCAGCACCGCTTCATCTGGAGTGGGTAGACTTTCGTTAATGCCGATAAGCTGCTGTATCGTAAGACCACTTGGATCGAAATTCTCTACAGCTTTGGCAATCTCGCGATAGGTGAGCTTGACTCGCGCTAAAGAAATGGCAGCATTCATTGCACGTTTCCCGTTGAACAACGTGACGGTTTGCTTTCTGTTCAGCGCTTTACTCGATCCTCGCAAGAAATCCTTCGTTGCACTACCCGTGCTTTGATGAGCGAAAAAGAGCGCTTCGAGTTCATCCATATCCACATCAACTTGAACATCTTCATCCTCGTCTTCCCAGATTGTTTTTTGCAGATTGAGATTTTGCAAACGGTCCTCCGATATGGCTTGCCAGTGCAGTTTCTTACGTGCTCGCTTGAGCGGTTCTGCTGCCGCAGTCACAGCACTAACACCAGAATTTAACTTTGAGAAACTGGCACCGAGGTCTAGCCCCTGCACTTCAACACTATCTGACAGTATCTTTGACTTCACCGCATCCTCAGAGAGTCCAGCCAAACATGTTGCGTCCAGTAGATCTTCATCAAGCTTTACGTCGCATGTTACTCCATTTGTATCCGAGATTGGCACATTCCTCCTGCGATCGAGAGCACTTTCCTCAGTACCATCATCCTTCATTTTTTGGTGACGTACGTTCCCATCATGAAATACCGTCCTTTTCATCGCACATGAGTCGGATACGAGGACATTCTCTTGCAGTTCGACACGATTCCCACCGTTCGAATTCGGAACCTGCCAATCCACGGCATCCTCCTTGACATCTCCTTCATTCACGCCACCGGCTTTCATCTCTTTTTGGACAGCAACTTCCGGTAAGCTTGCTAACAGCGCTTCACAATGTTTTGTATTCTCTGGATGATGCATCAGGTTCATGCCGTCCACTGTCGTTGTAGTGAACCTTTTCTCTCGTGTTTGTTCTGGTATCGCCAAAAGAGAATCGTTGCCGCCCTTGTCCAAAGCGCGCATATCAACACCGTCAGCCTTCATCTTTTGGCGTACAGCACCCTTTGGAACTCCCATCTTTAGCATCATGTGATATTTGGTATACACGTTGCATTCCTCCAGCGAGACTTCCGATGCAGTGTCGCTCCCATTGACTGCAGTAGACGGCTTCTGAACACTTGTTTCAACACCCGTAATGCGATTCTTCACCTCATCATAAACAGCATCGGATCCAAGATCCAAGATGACTGGATCGATTCCATCCATTGTGATCTTCTGTCTCACAGCTTCTTCCGGGCATCCCATGCGCAGCATTCGAAAGTAAATGGAGAATTCATCCATGTCTTTGAGACTTCGTTTCTGGATTCCTTTTGCTTGGATGGCGCTACGAAGACCAGCAGTGGTGCTCTTACTCGGGACCACGGCTTCCAAAGTTGACGGATCGACGTTTTCCCTCTGCATGCAGTTTTGAACTGCCTCGAATGGAACACCCCGCTTCAACATCAACGTGTACTTGTTGCCTGTCGATTTTCGTGCAAACATCTCGCTAGAATCGTTCATGTTTCTGAGAGTGCTCTGCCTGTTTGAAAACGTATCCTCCGTGTCTTCGTCGGATGGACGAGACAGAGTCGAAGCGTCTGCTGACTTGAGAGTATTCGCAAATGACACGGCAATAGGGGCGTTCACGCTGCTAAGACCAGTGGTCGCTTTTGTAAGATTGTCACTGGACAACCTACTCGACACAAGATCTTCACTCAGACGCCCAAGCTCTCTTGACACATCAACAGTCGCTTGATGTTGTCCAGCCATAGCGATGGACATAATACCAAGAGCTTTCGAGCCACTTCTGATACTGCTTTCACCTGCAACACCTTGGAATTCAGCAGGCGCAGTGCTAGGTGCTCCATCAACCAGTCGCGTGTTCGACATAGTGCCATAAACTAGATGGGGATTCTGGCTGTCGCGATTGGGTTCGACAGAGATTCTCTCGGCTACCCTCTCCTGTGTTTCTTGGACAAAACAGGTAGACAATGGATTACACCGCAACATCTCCAGCGCCAGACTCGGGCTATTCTGTGAGCATTGGAGAGCGAACGTAGTAGGCGTGTCGCTAAAGCCCATGCGCATCAAGGCCGAATGCATGCTTGGGCCCGGCAAAACGATGTGGTGCTTGGTAATTTCAATCAAACCTTGGCACAAAGCGGAGTTCCCCGAGTAGTTCGTTCTCACCATGTCATGTGGCTGCTTGGTGCTATTTTCATGCAATTCCAGCTCGACTGCGAATTCATCGTCGTCAAATCCGTGCTCGTACCGCTTCATCAAGTCTAGATCATGTCTCTTGAGCGTTACCAGTCCAGGCAAGAGAAAAAGCGTCGAGTCCGTGTATCGAAACAGCACTCTCGATGACGCGTCCGTGTCGCTCACATGGTCGTAGTCGCCTCCGAAGGAGCACAAGAGCGAAAACCCTCCATCCAACTCAAGTCCGCTTTTCCACGAGATGATAAAGCATCCATCCTCTTCATCCCAGTCCAGTACAGGCTCTTCCTCGCCCCCTCTTGCGTCCGTGCAAAAGACGAGTTTATAGTCGTTATAAATCTGCACACAAGGCTGGCGATCGACTGGCAGCTTCCTCAACACGACCGTCTTCAGTAGAATCGGCTTGTCATTCCGTGGCTTGCGTCTCTCCAGCAACTGGTAAAACTCTGCCAGAAACCGCTGAATCGACGGTGGTGTCTTCTGCCGCAGAGTCTGCGCCGTAAGTGACTTCAGGTGCCACCGTTTTCGGTAAAAGGCAGCAAGACCATCGATCGGATCGTGGCTCCGTCGTGCAAAGAGCAGGTAACAAGCCACGACAATTCCGCTCTGGGTTTTGCCCGTCGGACAATTCACCAACGCAACGTTCCGTCGATCGAGAGAGAGATACGCGTCCAGCGCGTAGCACATGCGAAAAAGGACGTCAAACGACGGCGTGTGCGCTTTCAGGTTACCTCGTTCCCAGTTGAATTCGAGCATTTGGCCGTGTAGTTCACGGACCTGCGACAAAAAAGTGTTTCCATCTCCAGCTAGTTCTGCAGTGACCGTGTCCTGCATGACGTTTTTCTCGTCATGTTGAAGGGAGTTACAGCTGAAGAGCATAAAGTGGTGGCTATAGTTCGTATCTAGAAAATGCGCCAAGTCGGTCACGTTCACGACATTGAGCTTTGGATCGGTTGGGGCGAAACTTGGGGTGCCCATAACCACGAGCTGCTCGGTCATGAACGTGAGATTCAGAGCCTGCGCGTCCAGGACATTGACGTCTCGCCGGCCAGTGAACGTCATTTGCTCCAACAAGGAGGTGCTGAGACGCAGGAGCGATTCCATTGATGTAGTAGTAGGAATGGGTTCGCGTCTTCTCGTTTTTTTTTTCCGTCTTCGTTCTCTTGGTTTAGTTACGGGTTGCGTTGTGTTATGATGGACTTGTACACGAACGAGATTGAGATGGAGAGGAATGTCGAGACGCGATTGGTCGCTTAACTTGAAGGTCGTGTTGGAGAAAGACGAGCATAACGATGGAGTGAGTGGCTGCAGCTTTTTTACGAGTTCTTGTCACGAGCGCTACGATGTGCAAAGGGTTGACCGAATAAGGAGACAAGACGGATGAGGTCTTGTGTTATTGTGAGTACGATGTAGCTGGCGTGCGCAACTAGCTGATGGGTTCGTTGGTTCTTGGTTGGTGGATTGAAAGAAACACTGTCGCTTTGTCGTGCTTTTTTTCCAGTCCGACTACATCGGAGAGGCTGATGCAACGACACATGAGCAGCATGACGCAGAGCTTGAAGTCCATTGTTACTGACATGCGTCAGTTCGTGGACTTGGAAACAAGCAGCGAGGAGGCAGCACAATGAGGGCGGCGAATGAGTTGCGGTGAAGCTGAAAGAAAACAATCTATCTGTAACGGGGTGAATCGTTACATAACAATTTATAAGAAATTGTTAATAGAATATAACTATAAGAGTTATATTCTCAGAATATTGTCATAAGGACAAATATTCTGTAGCACTTACGAGTAGTTCCTAATTGGTTGATATAGGCCATTATATCAACCAACGAAGACGCGCCACGACAGACGCACGCAATGAGTGGTGAGCAGATAATTGATTTACACATTTGTATTTAGACATAGTTAGATGAAGATAAATAGTGATTTATTGCAGACATTAACTATACTAAATACAGTTCTACTTTTTACTCTAACCAAGTACTCGCTTCTCCTTACCGTCTTCCTCTGCACGTACCAGTGTACGTAAAGTTACGAGGCACCGCCTTATTCTGTCGTCATAATAAGTAGCTTGTACTGTCATCAGTGCAAGCATCAGGGTGCCCCGTTACACCCGGTAGCACTTTGTAGTCCGTCCAAGGACAACGTTCACATCTATCATGAATATTTTAGATGGTGAAGACGACAGCTTTCACGTCACACGTGACGGCTACTCCCATCTGAGTGACTCAGAATGGGAGGTAGTCGGCCGCATAAGTGTGCCCATGGTTGAACCCGCCATCAAAGGCATGTTGGAGTCTCTAAGCAGAGACCAGCAACATGCTGCTAGTAACAAGTTCCTACAAAGGAAACTTGCCGTCGAACGACAAAAGATAGCCTTGCTACAGCAGCAAGGCTCTCATCAGTTGATGGGCGGGCCGACGCACATGCGTCGACCCGAAACCTTGAAGATTGATATCTCAAGGTACAAGGGAACCGATGAAGATTCCCTTTTGAGATGGTTCGTCGAGTTGGACGATGCCATCAGGGCCCGTCACATCGAGGGTGACGAGTTGCAAGTCACATTCGCCCTGTCAAATTTGACGGGACAAGCAAAGACTTGGGCCTAAGGGCTCAAGCTTCACGACTCAAACGTGTTTGAGTCGTTAAAGATCTTGAAGTCTCGGCATAAAGAGACGTTTGAGCCGCCGAGAACCGAGTTCAGAGCACGCTCTGCACTCATGAGGCTAAAGCAAGGTAAGCGTGACGTGCACGCTTACGCACAGCACCTGCGCTACCTTGCAAGTAGCGTTACGGAGAACCCTGTTGATGAGCACACGCTCATCAACGTGTTCATCTAAGGCCTTGTGGATGGGCCGGTGAAGACCTACATGTTCCGAGAGGACTTCATACGCTGGAAAGGGCGATAGCGCATGTGAAACAAGAAGACTTCAGTCTGAGACAGTCTCAGGCTAACTCGCCCAACTATCGTCCGACGAGGCAACAGGAAACGGGAGGTGCCGAACCAATGGACATCTGGTACATCAAGAGCGAGAACTCTCGCTCTCAGAGTCACAAGCGAACGGCAAGATGCCATCTCTGTCAGAATATTGGCCACTACGCTCATGAGTGTAGTATCCCAAGCACCGCATCACATCCAAAGACAGGACGTGATGACCGCCTTTGGCCAAGGAAGGGTCCGAGGCGTGGGTCCGACCATTTCGCCCAGCCGCGACAGCAAGTCGGACCGTCAAAAAACGGTCAGGGTCAGTAGGGGCGGAGCGCCCTGCTGATCCAGCAACGTCAAGAGAATTTGCAGGACTTTTGACGACGATAGCTCCCAACACGCAGTCTCTGTGTGTTACCACCCTTAGTGATGAGGAGTATCTCATCACTTTGAAGATCGAAGTGACAAGTGGAGTGTCACTTCGCGCCCTAGTTGAATGGGGGGCGTCGAACAGTTTTATTCGACGCCAGTCGCTAGGGGATATTAGTCTCAACTATGTTGAGCGAGAGTTTCCTCCAACGAGGATGACGGTGTGCCTTGCTACAGGCGCATCCGTAACAGTGGACAAAAATGTAGTGGGAATCTACTGCACGCTAGAAGGAAAACAATACGATGATGACCTTATCGTATTAAATTTGGATGGCAAATTTGATGTCATCCTTGGTCTGCCATGGCTTAGAAAGTCACGGCAACGGGTTAGCTGGCAGCATCGATCCGTGAATATGCCTGCCGTTTGTTCATCGGATGGCCATCTGATGAACTTCTTGGGGCGTTTACAAGCGTGTGGATGTACTACGAGTGAGTTGAATGGCCTCACTTGTGGTACTGTCGTTAGTACGATTGCACAAGATCACAGTGTAGAAGGCCACTGCACTGTGGAACTAGCTTTCGGCACCTGTGTAGAGACACGGGCTGTACCGAAGGCTCACCAATCGAAGAGATCGAGTGGACTGGAACACGGATGCACACCAAGAAGGGTGCATCCGAGAAGAGAAAGTAGTGTTGTTCAGGATGGACAACACGTTGAAGCGAGTTCGACTGTTAGAGAGTCGATCGTAGAGCAAGCCCGATCGACTGAAAGAGAGTCGATCGAAGAGGACGCGACCGTGATAGTACACGTAACGAAAGAAAATTCCAGCGTACCTGGGAGCAATAACTCCCGAGAGACTTATGCTGAGGGTGTGTTTTCCCGACCACATGCGGATGTGTTTTCCCAGGAAATCACCGAGTCAGAAAGTGTCTTGGTGAATGACGGATCAAGTGTAGGCGCTTATACACTTAATCTGGTTACACCTCCGACGTCAGCGTCGGAGGTGGTCAAGTTTCCAACGCTAGAATCTAAAAGATTCTTGCGAGATCTGCGTCGTGACAAGATCAAGCAGATCTGCGTGCTCGTCCCAGAGGACGAGTACGTTGCCGATATTCGGTCGGCACAAGTGTTTACTGAAAAGGAACGGATTCTTAGTAGCTCATCGATGGATGAGAGTGGCCTCGATGAAAACACCCGGACTGAGCGATACACGTCTCAATCTTGGGAGTCTTTGAAGACAAACACTTCGTATAAGGATTTGGATGAATGTAGGGATGTTTTCTCTGAATCCATGACATGCTAGCTGCCCAAGGACGAAGGCACTTGGCCTGAGATCGAACTGAAACCCGGTTCGAAGTTCTGTGTCATGAAGCAGTGGCCACTGCCTCGTGAACAGGTCACAGCGATCGACAAATTCTTTGCCGATCGATTAGCGGCTGGTCATGTGAGGGAATTAACATCCCCACACAGCTCCAACATTCTGTGTGCGAAAGGCCACGGGGGGTGGCGGATAGTGCACGCGTTCAACAAATTGAACGCTGCAACGGTACCGGCTTAAACGCCGATCCCAAGAAAGTACGTCATCATAGATGGTATGGCAAAAAGTACCATCTTTTCATCCATGGATCTATGGATGGGTTCTATCAGATCCTCATGCATGGACAGGATATCCCTTACACAGCAGTGAGCACCCCCAGTGGTATGCTTTGGGAGTGGCTAGTGATGCCACAGGGGCTAAGTAACGCCCCCGCAACGTTTAACAGATGTGTTACGAATCTGTTGCGATCGGTGCAAGATTTCGCACCGACTTACTTTGACGATGTCTTCGTCCATATCCTGGCTATGGATGAAAAGACGGACGTGGAGGTTCATAGAATACACGGCCCGAAGTTTCTTACACTTATGCATGTTCCTAGGTTGTTCGCGAACATCAAGAAGTGCATATTCGCAGCGAGCGAAATATCACTTCTTGGCTGCATCGTGGGTAAAAACGACGTAAGCCCTGATCCGGAAAGATCAAGGCGATTAGCGACTGGCCCGTGCTAGTAGACGTCAAGGGACTTCGAAATTTCCTTGGCTTAGCGGCGTACTTGCACAAGTACTCGCACAAGTACGCCGAAATAACCGTGCATCTCTCTCGTCTGCTAAAGAAAAACGAGAGGTGGTCATGGAGTTCTTCGTGTCAGCACTCCTTCGAAAGTATCAAGAAAAGCTTGGTACAATCGTCTGCGTTAGCGATTGCAGACCAGGACAGACCATTCCATGTGGTCTGTGAAGCCAGCGATTTTGCAATCGGCTGCGCGTCAATGCAGTACAACTCAGACGGCGTTAAGCGCGTCGTCTGTTATCAATCGCGTCAGCTGCAAGCAGCAGAGCGAAAATTACCCGGTGCATGAAAAGGAACTCCTTGCCATGAAATATGCACTGGCCAAGTTTCGGGTATATTTCTTAGAAGATAGGCCCTTCATCGTTTATGCCGAGCATGCGTCATTACTCACGGCCGTAAACAGTCCACACCTCTCGCAACTAATGGCGAGGTGGCTGTCTTTCTTCGCGGAGTACAACTTCTCCGTCGAGTATAAACCAGGACGACTTAATGTCGTCGCTGATGCTCTTTTGCGTCGGCCCGATTTTGATCCGACTGCTCAAACCAACAGTAGGGGTGATCCTACTGTCGCGACACTAACAGTGAGTGTACCGTCGTCGAATCTGCTCGATGACGTGCGAGAAGCGTACACAGAAGATGAGTCTCTTCTGCGGTTGATGGATTATGTGGCCCATCCGTGTAATCAAGCTTTGAAAAGCTTGTCGTCTCAATACCGCTCTTCTACAGAACGTTATTCTGTCCGTGATGGAATGCTGTACTATACAGCAGTCAACGGCGACACACCCCGTGTCGTCGTTCCGGCTCATAATGATTTGCGATTGCGCATCATGTATGAGTGTCTCGATGCCCCAACAAGTGGGCATCGTGGTATAGAAAAGACCTACCTCATGGTGAGTCGTGACTTCTACTGGCCCCGCCAGTATGAGTTTGTGCGGAAATACATTCGCGCTTGCGAAGTTTGTCAATGGGTGAAGCCTAGTCCTTCATCCCGAGAACCCTTGCAGCCTCTTCCGATTCCGGCAGAGTGTTGGCAGTCCGTATCGATGGACTTCGTCTTCGGGTTTCCCAAAGACGATCACAAGAATACTGGTATTCTTGTGTTTGTTGATCGGTTCAGCAAGATGGTACATCTTGTTGCTGTACCGGAGTCAATCACAGCCCAGGGCTGTGCGCTTGTCTTCATTGATACTATCTTCCGACTTCACGGGTTACCCCGTGAACTGGTGTCCGATAGGGACCCCCAATTTACTGCTATGTTCTGGCAATCCGTGTTCCGTTCACTTGGAACACGTTTGACAATGTCAACTTCTGACCATCCCGAAAAAAATGGTCAATCGAAACGCGTCAACCGCGTTCTCGAAGAGATACTTCGAGGGTATGTCCACTCGTTTACGAGTTGGAGTAAGTTCTTGCCGATGGCGGAATTCGCCATCAACAACTCAGTGCATGCGTCGACAACGCATACACCGTTCTTCGTGAATGGCCTACGCCATCCACGTTTACCCGCCTTCTTAGAGTGTGACTCTAGTTTAAGGGGGGGACTCTCTCGAACAAAAACCGATCTGGTTCTTGCTCATCACCCGTCGACAATGGTGTTGACGTGATGGATGCCGATGTCGATGGGATTGATATCGATGATGACGATGACGACGATGCTGGCATATTCAGCATCGCCAATGACCGCCAAAGTGAGGACGATGACACCCTCACTGGTAAAGACAATGTTCTTTCAGCAGTGCACACGAAGAGCACTGCTGTTGACAAGGATGAATCAGCAGAGGAATTTCTGCTGACTCGCGAAGCGGTTGTCCGCTTCGTTCAAGATTCTATTGCAGATGCACTAGACAGACAGAAGAGAAACGCAGACAAACATGGAAGAGCAAATGTTCTTTCATTTGATGAAGGAGACCTAGTTTTACTGTCTACAGTAAACTTACCGAAACACGCGGTGACAAACGTGGGCAGCAGTAAATTACTGCCCAAGTACATCGGTCCATTTCGTGTGTTGCGCCGAATGGGCAACGCATACATGATTGAACTGCCTCGTGGGATTCTTACGCATTCTACGTTTTACTTCGGTCTTCTCCGCCCTTAATATCAGTACGAGCCCGTTTCGAGATGCGAAGAACACCTCCGCGTTCAAGGGCCGAGACCACCTTCTAGTGGTCCCGTTTCAACGAGCCAGTCTATTCGACGAGCGAAGCGACCTGTTCACGCAGTTCAGAGATGTCTCGACGAGCTTCAGCCAGCTCATCACGAAGAGAACAAGTCGAACGTTCGTTGTTAAGTTGCGCGAACGCAAAAGCGGCACGCTCGTCCGAACGATCGTGCGTTAGGGAATTGTAAATATCCTTCACAAGATCCTCAAGCCCATAACGCCGAGTTCGTTCATGAGCCAGGTCATCTTGCAACTGTTCCGTTACGCGGTTTAGTTCTTGAACATCAAGCTGATCCGACCCTCGAGCTGTATCAGGTGTTTTCACCGCCACCACACCCTTTGGTGGACTCTGTCGGTGGTCAACGCTTCCTAGTGGAGCGTGTTTTGAATCACCGCGATGTGAATGGCGTCCGGACAAGTGACCTCGTCCGCTGGCGTGTCTATCCACCGGTGTGGGACAGCTGGGAGCCTCGTGCCCCGCTGATTGTTGATGTCCTTGGTCTCGTCGAGCAGTACGACGAGACCCACCCGCTGCGTTCGAAGAAGGGCCGTCGAAAAATGACCTCCTCGAACGCGAGTACGGGAATTGCAAGGTGTCAATCCCTTCGGCCATCTCGGAAGATATGCGCGCCCTCCAGTATGGATCATTAGGGAGGAAGGCCTCCCTAGGGGCACGGCTCGAGTTGTCGAGGCAACCTGGACACGAATCATCCCACGAGAGACAGGGTTATCCTATTTCTCTTGAAAGCCGGTGCAACTTGTATCGCGCCCCGACTAAGTTGCATTTCTCAAACCTGATGCGAACTGCATCAAGTTTGGCGAGCCAGGCCTCACGGTTAATACACTCGATGTTGTGGATGAGGGCATTCCATCCCTGCACCAAGGCTTTGTCGTCTCGAACACGGCTACCATTGTACAACCGATGTTTGGAAAACGCATCGGTGAAGAATTCTTCCTCAGCAGGGATAGTATCCGTGCTGGAATCAGGTGGGCCAAATCTTCCTGCAATCGAACAACGGGATTCGATATCGATCGGTAGTCATGCCGGCCAACCGGTCCAACTCTCTGGATAGCGGCATCCACGGAGACTCCACTTGGGGAGCGTGGCGCAGGACATTTCGGTCCCTGGCCTCTTGATTGGTGCCAGCATGGGCTCTGGCACCAGTGTTACCCCGATACCTTGAGTTACTTCGCTCGTGGTGATGTATAGGTGCATCACCACCATCCCCACGCATCCTATCGTTAGACGGACATGCGTGAGGCGGAGAATCATCGGAATAATCACTCGATCCGAAGATTTCGGTCATAATACCGCCGCGTTGACCAGAGACAGTCGACCTGGCTCTGGCAGTGCCCGCCACGGGTGATTCGAGGCGTGAGGAGTCGCCTTCGAGTCGGATGCATCATCCGACTCGCCGGAATAGATGAGCTCTATCTCAGACTCGTCTGGTCTACAATTCGAGGTACCTGCTGCAGACGCAACGGATGTACCTGCCGCACGTGGTGACTCACCACGTGAAGGGTTCACGACAACAGGCGACGAATCGCCTGCTGCTGAGGCGTGAGAGGCACTTTTCACGGCCGCACGCATGCGTGCAGCCGCCCTTCTTGCTGCTGCAGTAGCAGCTCGCGTGGTCTTTGAAACCATGCGTCGGATTGGCAAATGAATGGAATTTGACCATTAAGTGCTCCCTTTCCCAGAGTGATCCAACGGTGGTCACCCTGTCCCAATCAATTTTATTCAATCAACGGGTGATTGATGGTTAAGGGGAGGGTGATGTCACGGTGTAGCCCGTTACATGAAATTGACACCAGACGGTGTCAATAAGAACATTATCCAGCATGACAATATTCTACCAATATTATCCGAGATGGATAATTTCGAAGGAATATTGTTCCCTTTTGGATAACATTCATGAGCTGCTCCAAGATTGGTTGATAAAGACATGTCAACCATAGATTGCCACCAATCGCTGCTAGACGCGCGCAGTGAGTGGTGAGCAGGTTGTCGTCATACGACGGCGTAGTTTAATATAGTTAGATAAAGATCAAAGTTACATTGATAGCTTAACTATATTAAATACAGTTCTCTTTTTACCTTTCCTTGACCGAGTCGTTTAAGTAGATTAGCTTCCTCTGCACGTACTAGTGTACGTGAAGTTTCGCGGCACCCCACACAAAGGGTGCCCCGTTACAGCCACGCAGACGCATGAAAACTTCTGGTTGCAGCAGTTAGACCTGAACCAGGACTTCCTTATAAGCCTCCAGCAAATGAAGGACAAAATTAAGAAGATCAGGACTAACCAACTGGTACCGAAAAGCCCATCTTAGTACTCTTTCCCAAGGCCCATTAACTGCTTTGCACTCAATTTCAAAGTCCTCAATGTAGTGAATATTAGTTTACAAAATTTCGGGGACCAGCCTTTGGCTATCGAGTATCAGTTTAGGGAGGTTTACTTCATGAAATTTGGGTCCCAAGTCGGGACCAGAAAAGAATATCATCATAGGCAAGTTATTACATTAGGTAGTATTACTTTAGACAGGTTCTTCCGTACCACATCATTTTGTCTTGATCATCAGAAATGAGGAGCTGCACACAATCATGTACCGCAGAGGTTCTCCCGCGAACATTCTACACGCACGACCTTCTCTACCCAGGCTGGGCCAACGATAGTACGATCCAACCAAGCAAACTCACTGGTCTGGACTCTTTTTGGCCATCATCTGGTTCTGAGCACTGCTTATTAGCAGCTGCATCAAAGAATATCTGGTCTGGACGCCGATGGCATTCGCCCGGTGACGAGCAGTCAGTCTTTTCTGCGATTCCATTGCAGTACATCTAACCCCGGGCCGCTGCACTATATTCATTTCCCAGTTCGCGGTCTGTTGCCCTCGACCACTTCTAGGTATCTTCAAGGTCAGACGATGAGGCTCTCTTGTCTCTCTGCTACCTTCATAAGTCTTGGGCTGCTGGCTTCTGTTAATCCCGCCTCGTGCGTCGCTGTGCGAAAGATCGTGGCGCCTGGCGCTCGTGCACTTAAGCACACGACGGCCAAGAGAATGCTGAGGGACGACGGAAAAGAGCAAGAAAATCGGGCAGCTCCCATCGATGTTAATGCGGACGAGCTATTTAACATCGCAACAAGACTAGCTCCAGCAGCCCTTGAGTCATTAGAGACCAACCTGCGCGGCATTCCCGCTGTGTTGTCTAGATCAAGCGAGACCAGATTCCCCTTTGAACTGTATGACGCATTTCAAAGGGAACTCGCCAAATTTCGGATCCTTCTTAACAGCGAGCAAGACACTCCACCTGAGGCAGTCTTCAACTTATACTCAATTTCGGTCGCGTTCATCGCGAGTCTCCGTCCTCGTTTTGCGGCAGGTCATTTTTTCGAGATGTCGCAGATTGAAGCGGACATTATGAAGGTTGACGTTTTAACCAACTACTTGAGTGAGAGCAATTTAGCGATCATGGCCCACATGAGTTTGGACTCGAGTGACGCACGTGACATTGCGAGCAGGATCCAACAGGCGCTGTTCATCAAGTGGTATAGAAACAGTGAAACTCTTGAGGCTGTTGAAGAGAAGCTCAAAGATGGTCGCACGGAAGATAGACTCGCTCGAGTGATAGCCGAGCCCTATATTCATTTCCACGCCATGAGATCTCGTCAACTTCTCGAGGGTGCGTAGTCCTCACGAAGAAGAATTAACGTTGCCTTCGTTTTACTTTTGGAGCGTAACTCCGTTGTCGGTTCTTCTCTTGCATTCACACTTTATCCACCTGTTCGATTTGACGTGTTCGTAGTCTTGGTTGGGCTAACGTCCATCTGGATGAAAAAATAAATGTCATCGACCGTCGTGGCAACCTTGATAGGCGGCGTACTTCACAGTGTTCTGTTCTGCGAATCCAAAGAGATCCCTTCGACGCATGTGCTCTTTACTGGTGTGGTGAAAGCTGTCAGAAGCACCCGCACAGGTCGTAGGACAACTTTTTCAGTCAGTGGTGTATGAGCCTGCGTTTGAGGCGATTCGCTGTCGCTTGCCAATGCAAATAAGAGCCTTCGTCGCAAAAGTGTTCATCTTTGAGACCTTCGACATGACTAGTCACGCAAAAAGTACTGGTATGGCGCACTCCACACGATTGACGGCCGTCCTACAACTCATGCCTTTCAGCGCCCCAAGCTAGGAAAGTAAAGACTAACTAACGCATCTACAAAGCTCCACGTCGCTCCGACTTGTAGACATCTCGATTTGCTACCAAGTCCTCTCCTTGCGTCGATGATCCGATCATCAGTATCGGAACTCAGCTATCCTCGCACTAGCTCCGTTTGTTTACTAGCACAAACACGAATCATGATGTTCTCTTATCTCGTATGAATCGCTCGATCATCTCCGCAACGACTATTCTGAACAACGTCACCATTGCTACTTGTCTTGTGTAATTAGTTCTGTTTACCATGGCGACCTTCTGGACTTGCCCAATCGCGGCGGGTCTGGATCCGCACTCCGACCACTTTCACTACCTAAACGACGTGCACCACACAAACAAACCCCAGCGCTGCTTCGTGGCGCTTCCAGCCTCAACCATGACCAGCTCCTCCTCCGCCTCGTGGCTGAGCAAACTCAAGGGACTCGACGCGTACCCCAAGACCATCGAGGAGTTCAAAGTCCGCACGTCCCAAGGTGGTTTCTTCTCCCTCTTGGCGATGGGATGCGTCTCCCTCTTGCTCGTGTCCGAGCTGCGCTTCTACTTTGCTACCGACACTGTGGACAAAATGGTCGTGGACGGCGGCCGCAACCACCTCCTGGCCATCAACTTTGACGTGGAGTTTCCGCTCATGCCTTGCGCCGTTGTGGCGCTCGAGTCCGTCGACATGGCGGGGAACGTGCACCACGATATCGAGCACGACGTGGAGAAGACGAGGCTGGATCGACGTGGGAAGGTGCTGGCGGAAGGCGTGCGGGACGTTCTGGGGGGAGCGATGATTAATAGCACGGAGCTGCACAAAGAAGCGGCCAAGTAAGTGGGGCTGCTGGACGGGATGGGAGGCCTGATTTGGTTCACTTGTGTTGAAATTTGAGCAAGAAATGGGGAGAAGACGGACTGATGCGGGACGTTTTGGATTGGTGGCTGCTGGGATTGTTTTGTGATAGGATTGTTTGTGGGAGCTGCTACTCTGCTGGAGAGCCAGAAGAGGTAGGTAATGGGTATGTCAGGGGTGAAGTGCTTGTGGACTGACACGATGTGTGTGTGTGTGTGGTTTTTGCTGTGGCTCTGCTTTCGTGCTAGTGCTGCAACACGTGCGCGGACGTAGAAGCGGCTTATGTCCGCAAGGGCTGGTTGATGCCGAGTCTTCACACGATCGCACAGTGTCAAGAGCTGGAGGTGGAAAAAGTGCTGCGTGGAGAAGTGGAAGAAGGGTGCCGGATCAAGGGCACGCTTGTTGTCTCGAAGGTTGGGACGCGATGGACTTTTTGATGACGATAATGCGTGGAAGGTGTATGTTGACCGTTTGATTTTTTGGTGTGTTGTATTGATAGGTTGCTGGCAAGCTGTACTTTGCTCCGTCTAAGATTTTTCGCACGGGATACTTGTCGTCGCAGGATCTCATTGACGCCACTTTCGACGTCTTTGATACGTCGCACACCATTCATTCGCTGTCCTTCGGCGAAGCGTATCCGGTAAGAAGAGTGTGATTTGGTTGATCGTTGCGTCTCGCTTCGATTGTAACACTTGTGCGTTCATTACACGATTTACTGCATCCATGCGATCAGGACATGAAAAACCTGTTGGATAATCGCCAGAAGAAACTCCCCGAGAAGTCGGTTCGTGGCTCGTTCCAGTACTTCCTAAAGGTATGAGATATGTGGGACGATGTATGTGTGTTCTGCTTGCAGTCACATACAGTGAGCTTTTTGACACGAGCATTTGTGTCGCATCAGGTAGTGCCCACGGAGTATACGTTTTTGTCTGCAAGCCGTATCATCACGAACCAGTTCTCAGTCACGGAACACTTTCGCCAGCTCACGTCTACAAGTGACAAGGGTCTACCAAGTAGGTCTATGTAGTTGCACGCACCTTTGGTTATTCGCGTGGGTTGACACTGAAACTTATGGGCGGATCTTGTCTTGTATATGCAGTGGTTTCGTTCAGCTACACGTTTTCGCCAATCATGTTTCGCATTGAACAGTACCGTGTGGGCCTTCTTCAGTTCCTCACTAGCGTCTGCGCGATTGTGGGAGGCGTGTTTACGGTACGTACTTGTGACGTTTTTCCGCTCTAACAGTGTTTGCAGCGACACTTACGTGACTGCACGCTCGTGTGCGTTATTGTAGATTCTTGGCATCATGGACTCGCTCGCGTTTCGAGTTTCGAACAGAACGAGCAGCACGCCGCTGCTCTGAGGGGTCCGTGGCTAATCTCAAGTAGACGCAAGCTCGTCTTGTATCTGTGTTCCCGAAATGCTCTTTTGAAGTGGTGTGTTTGCGATAGAGAGACTCGGCTGAAGCTGTAAGATTTGTTGACAGTCTTGGATTCGTATGCTCACGAGGTGGGTAACACGTTGTGTTCATATTTCGTAGGCATGCGCTTTTCGATTGAGTGACAACATTGTGCATTGAAGCAGAGCTTGTCGGCTACTTGACTGCATCTGGCTGGAAATGAACAAACCTCATGTTTGCGCTAAGGACATTCGATCGAGGTGACCTGACTGACGGTGGGACCAACTTAAGTTCGCTGCTTAGCTAAATGAGCTAACTATCGGGAAGGATAGCTAACGAGCTTGCTAGCTACAATTTGCACGGCTTCGTCATGGATAAACGTGTCACTTTCAGCACGTATCGATGCAAAAGTAGTCTCAAGTCGCTTCAAAGATCAATGCAAACGCGGGCGACTCAAACAGTCTGTGCATCCAAACCCAACCGATATTGACTCAGAATCGAGCAAAAAACACACGACGTTCTCCAGTTGGCAAGCAGATGCAGTCGCCACCAAAAAATAGTACAAAAAGTCACAACCGTCAGGGTCGATCCCATTCATCGTCGCGCTCGCAATCTGTTAAGTCAGTAGAAGATTCCACAACCCACGCTACACATTTTCAAAAAACGGCAATCCTGCTGCTACTTTTGTAAAAAAAACTCCAACTCCTCATCTTCCACCGCAGCAGCTGGCGCAACTTCAGCGCCATGTGGTCGATCCAACACACACGTCACACAAATGTACCCACTCCTCCCCTTAAGTACGTCCTAGCGCATCCCCTGCCCACTCACCCACCCATACCCACATCAAGTCGGATGGGAGACGCCTACGAGGCGCTCGCTGTCGCCCAGAGCGCGCAGTTGTACCTGCTCGTGGGCCTCCTCGGCGTCGTCGTGTACCTGCTCCTCGTCCTCACCTTCTTCTTCGTGCCGCACATCAAGACGCAGCACCCGGCCGCAGACCTCGTGGCCTGGCACGCGAGCTGCGGCTTGATGACGTCCAGCGGCTTTGTCTTTGGCTTTGTATGGCAGCGCCAGCACGAGATCCGAGTGGACGATCCGCTTGTGCACCGGCAGTGCGCGTTCCTCGCCCCGTTCCACCAGTTTTTCTTCCTGGCAGGCACGTGCTGGTACCTCATGCTGACGATGGACCTGCTCGTGGCGCTCGTGAACCCCTGGATGGGCTATCGCTGCAAGAAGTGGACGTACCATACAATGTACGAGGTGGACAGATGATGGGGATAGGTCAATTAAGTGCTGAAGTAGCAGCAGGGTAGCTGAAGGAGCAGTAGAAAGATGGATGGCATGGTAGATTTTTTTTTATTTGCTGGAGGAGGAGCGTACGGACTTAAGTAGTTGGAGACCTGGTGCATGTTTTGTGAGGGGGTTGTTGCAGTTGGACTGATTTGAACTGATTTGGGCTCTTGTGTCTTGTTGTTGCTGTTGTGGGTGTGTGGTAGAGTGTGGAGTGTGAGTGGGGTTTCGGCGCTGGTGTTGCATCAGCTTGAGCTCTATGGTCTTTCGTCGCTGAATGTGTGCTGGGTCAAGCGCACGAAAGATCCAGCAGAGATGAATGTGGCCAATTGGGTCTTTCTGTTTGTGGCTGTAGGGGTTACGTGCTGCTTGTCACTTGCAGTGCTATTATTTGCGAGTTTCCGCTTTGTGAGGCGACAACTGGATGTCACGTATCGCGCCAAGCGTCGGAACTTGATCCAGTACTACCGCTACCTTTTAGTGTTCGCAGGACATTGGACGGCGTGCGGAGCACTCTATTATGCTGCATATCGCCAGCGATTTGAAGGCAAGATGGCAAAACACTGTGAGCTCGCGTTTGCACTGGTCTTCGGGTCGTATCCCGTACTGCTGCTGGTTGTCTGGGTGCTTAATACGGAACTATACCAGAACTTTTCCAGTGAAAACAATCTTTCTCAGTCCGAGCAAGGAGCTCGACACTTGACAAGTACCGAACATTTCAGTGCTGCTCTGCGGAAAGATTTGATGCGCTACACGACGGCAGGTATTCGATGCAGCATCGGTGAGTCCCCGATGGATAGCTTACGCTCTCCGCTGCTCAGTATGTCGCGAGACCGCTTTGGATCAATCGATCGTACCGCTGCGCTGACTTTTTTGCAAATGGAAGAGGGTGGAACGGCTGGGTTGTATCACGAGAAAAAGCGGCTGGCTACGACTGTGTATAATGGCGAGTATCGGTATTATGAGAAGCTAGGCTTCACTGACTACGCACCGAAAGTGTTTCAGAATATTCGCGAGATCTGCGGTATTGACAACGAAATGTACGAACAATCGTTTGCCGACACGTTGCTGGAACGTGCATCGGAAGGCAAGTCGGGGATGCTGTTCTACTTTACAAGCGACCGCCAGTACTTGGTGAAGACTATGACGAAGAAAGAACACTCGTTCCTGCTGCAAGTGCTTCCGCTGTTTCATCAGTATATTCTCAAGCAGCCGAACTCGCTCTTGTGCCGCTTTCTTGGATGCCATTCGATGCAACTTCCGGTGGGATGGAACAAAATGTTTTTCGTTGTGATGGAAAACATCTTTCCTGATGGACCGGTTGATGAGCGCTACGATCTTAAGGGGATCTTTCACCAGTCCAGCTTTCGGTGTCAAGACGCTGTCTCAACACCAGGGTCAAGTGAATGGAGCCGGAGTGGCAGGGAAGAATCAGATGTCGTGAACGTGTTCGAAGACGAGACGACAGCGGCAAGCGAGACTCAAAGCGTGGACAGTGCATCACGACATGTAGCAGAGAAGCAGCCGCTACTACGTCGCGGTCGCTCGCGCCCTTCACTCCGGTATGATAACGACTTTGTAACACGTCGGGCTTCACTTCGTGTGAATCCTACAACTCGCGCGAACTTACTCGCGCAGGTAACTAGCGATTGCGGATTCCTCCAAGAGCTAGGAATTATGGACTATAGTTGCCTTCTCGGCATCCGGAACTACAATTGTCGCATTGAGTCCGAGGTGCTGGGCAATCTGGCGCACAATGCCGTTGTTTCCGCAGACCAGTCTACTGTGTATTATCTCGGGTTCGTGGACATTTTGCAGCACTACAATATTGGATGGAAGCTACAGCACTGCTTTCTCGCAGCGTTAATGGACAAGCATCAAATTACGGCGCTTCCTCCTGCAGAGTATGCACTGCGCTTTTTGAACTTTATTCACGAGTACCTGCTGCGAGATCCAGAAGCATCTCAGGTCCGCTCGTACGGGAGTGTCGAGTACTCGCCCTCCAGCTTCGTCCGTCGAGATCAGCTATGAATGCGAGACGTGTGGTATCTCATGCCATCTGTATCGAGGGGACCAAGTCAAGAGAATGATGAGCCAGTTGTATAAATTAAAAGTCTGGTCGAGTGCAGAAAAACGACAGGTTCAGTGGGGCACAGAGCATGCTTAACGAGCTATGGCTGGTGTCTCTTCGCTACCACCTTGCTCGATGACTGCAGCGTCATTTCTAGTTGCTTGCAATCAGACGCCCTGGGATGACCGGCATAGTCTACACACTCATGGGCTGCACATCAATTTCTATGGTGCAGCAGCATGACACCAGAATCGAGAATGATCTTGATAACGAAGCGCTCTGCTAGGAAAGTGGCGCTTCACTCACGTTGATGCCGTCAGAGTGGGTAGGATACCTCGACGGAGTGAAGTTACGACCAAGCAGTGGAAGTTGAAAGCTGCAGTGTTAGGAACGCTGTGTTTGACCACCGAAACGTCATCCATTTTTGCTTCTCAGCAAGGCAACGTCATTGAACTTGCGACAATTGCTGGCACGCAATATGTACTGCTATTGCGTACGAGCGTGCTATGGGGGGGGGAATCAAAAAAGCGTGTGGTGAAACAGGAGTGCTATCGTCGTTTGTTTAATGGGTTACCACAAGAGGTGAGTTGTGATCGCGATCGATTATGTTGTCCGTTGTCACCTCCATTGTAGTATATTGCTGTCATGATGACGCTCGGCCGAGCAGGTGAATGCTCCATATACAGGTTCGAAGGTCATTATGGCTCGTCTTGCAAGGAAAATAAAACGATGAGGTCACTCAGTCTTCTGCCGTTACATCAAATCGTCGGTCACTTATGGCATATCGAGTTGGAACGGGTACTTTCACTTCTGTTATACGATGCTTGTGAACTCCAGGTGGAGCGTTTCATGCGCGCTGATGTATTGTGCAACGTAAGCTTTGAGCTGGCATGTCAGATATGCTATGAGTGGCGTGGATAAAGCTAGACGTTACACCTTGAAATGGAACATCTACTACACAAGACTGGCCTCGCGAAGGACTTCAAGTGTACATGCCAGCAAATACTTTACAAGGTTGGCCTTGGAGAGGGTGCGTTTATAATGCCAGCACGGACGGGATGGAGAATATTGAGGCTTCTGTGCGACCCCGCTTCTCTGTGGTTTCGAGTCCTGCAGGATCGGCAATCGTCCAGAACGTCAACGAACATCTTTCCTCCTGTTGTTGATCTCAATGTCAGTGAGACTGTTTGTTGTCATTCGTAAAGTCTGCTATCGTAATGGATGAGGTAAGGGTGCGCTTATGTTCAAGTGCGACGTCTGGCTATAGCAACCTTGATGTGAAATGATTAGCTCTCTCATCCCACCGGAAAATGATACCGTCAACGGTGAAGTTATGACTCTTAAGATCATCCGCCCTCATCGGCACACATGCACTCGGAACCTTTGCATCTCGATAACGAAGACAGTCTTGGATGTCGTTGGGGCACGATACGTCGTCTGCCTCGATTTCTCTCGCGAACAGCCTGATCTCACCTTCTATTGATGTTCGCGTTGACACCTCGTGTCGCCTACTTAAATTGCGAAGCCTCTGATCAGTCGTAAGTGATATCTTGGTAATGACCAGCATCATGTCGCTGCTTGCCATCCGCAACTGGAGTTTGCGTTTTTACAGATAATGCTGTTTTACGGGATGTCCATCACCAGGGTGCCTGTCGGGTACTTTGATACGAGTCGGCAAAGCCGGATCAGGCTTACGTCCTGATCAAGTTGAAGTCCTGCACTCGAGGGAAAACATACGCAAAGTTGAAACCACCGGCTAACCAAAAACCAGTCGTTGTCCTTACGACTGTCTTCAACGCTCATCCTGAGTACGCAATGGCAAAGTCCATTCAAGACCAATGCTTGCCGGGTTGTCACCCATCGACCAACTGAATGAGCTAACATTCCGAGCTTCTTGACCCAGATTGATGCATTTCTTTGCTAAGACTAGAGCTTATACATGCTCGAATCAAAGCTCTCGAAATGGTAAGGTCGGCCTCACTGTTATCGATTCGATCGCTGAGATGTATACCGCATTCGCATCGAATATACGGCTCTCGCTCGCGCAAATTGTCGACTCGACAAGCGACATCGATTTCTAATGGATCAGCCTCGGTAAGTCATGAAAGCTAGATCATTCGATGTAATCCAGTTTCGTGCTCTCCTTGTCAATGTCATTGATTTTGATGACCTTTGCAGAGCTTACTCTTTGCCATACCTCACATATGCAGCAGATAAAGTGACCCCGCAGAGCTCTCGGGCTTGGGTTTATTGACTGATTCACCGCAGCAATATTATCATAGCTGCGCAATCAGGCTTCATCGTATCGCGTCTGCCCACTTCAACAAGAAAGTTACGATGACAATGACGGCTCATGAGAGCGGATCCGGATCTGAAGTCCACAATACCATAACTTCGGTCTAATCACGATTCAGACCACCCGCGGCTACGACTTTGAACATCAGTCGGACTTGTCGGGTTTGCGAAACCCAAATGTACTCGCCATTTTACCAGTTCATCTCTCATTCTAGTCCCGTACTACGTGAACCTGCTTCCAGCTCCGTTTGTTCACAGACGCTGATTAGCGCGCCCAAGATTGTGGTTCACTTCGACGGCGGTTCGGAAGGGCCATCCAGGTTTCGTGTGTCCAACCAAAGTCTATCCTCGTGTCCATTATTGCACTTCCAAATGACCCCGAGGCCACTATGACGCATGCAACAACGGGTTTACAGTGTAGCGAAACATCATGTCGTTTCTTCATGACCAGCGGATGACAACATGGCACGCCACGACCCGCTGCACCATGTTTGCCGACGTTGCACTTGCATGTGATACCTAAATCTACTCCAGCTTCTGCGTCAACGTCTTTGTGATTCCCATTTCGAAGAGAGCTCGGTCCGATGTCATCCTCGATATCGATGCTACAGTTGTCTAATCGGTTGTTTTATCACAGCAAGTTTTCATGGTCCATCATCGACACGAGAGGCGTCACTTCATAATTATAGGCACCAACCAACCTGCGCGGCACCAATGACTCATGTCGCCTGAATGGTTTGGCATCTTGCTCTGCGCAGTATGCTGAGCCCCAGTTTTTCATGTTATAACTCCTGCCGAGTGTCTGGTCGGTCTCTCTTTTTGCTACATTTGTCCGGGTGTAGCAAGATCCGGTCCATTTCATTGCGTAATCGGTCTGGAACATGATACCCTTTTGCGCTATCAGACGCCGTTCCAGTGATATCCGTGCATTCGCATCTGCTCAAACCATTCGCTTGGCCTCGTTGCAAGTCGCTATCTTTCTACCATGGTTTCATCCATGCTGTGGACACTCACTCGTTACAATCGAGATAGGCCCGACACCTTTTTCTGTGGGAAATCAAATACTTGACGATCACATGACGAGACACCTGTCTTGTGCAACTCCTTGTGGCAATGGATATGTGGTAGTTGGAGACCCGGCTTTGGTTTTTCGGTAGTACGATCTCAGCAAGTTGTACGAAGCCCGTTCGATGAGGAGCAGTGTGCACTGAATTCACGCGAAAGGATGTGCGCATTGCGCTCGTATAATTGCAGTACTCGTTATTGAACGGATCCGCTACGTCATCGAACCATTGTTTTCATGGCAGGTATAGATGCTTCTTGCAGCTCGAGACAGACGAAAGAAAACTGCAATTGACATCACAGTACCCGCTTGTTGTAGGCAACGAAGCAAGCAACACCAAAGACTTTTTGCACCACGTCCATGTCATTGTGCCACAGTGCGATCGAGACGTGCGATCCATACCTTTTGGCAAATGGCAAAGGGACACGCACAAATGAGATAGGCACCAATGTGTTTGCATCCGATGGCAAACATCCTCGAAAATTCGACGAATATGCTCGTGCAATAGTTAGTACAAGCATCCTGTAGTATTTTCAATACTGCAACGTCATCGTTTATCTTCGTAGCAACTGTCATACGAGTGTCATCCAGTCAACACTAGCAACACGGCATAATTCATAATGATCCAACTGGTCGTGCCAAACGGTGTGTGCAAGTCTTCTCTCGACTGTCTTCGTAACATCGAAAACTTTGTCGATATGTTAATCGCTAAAGTGATTCGTGAACTTTATTCGACAATCGCCGCCGTTCCGTGCTGGTAGAAAGCCATTGCACATACGAGTGTTGCAAGATAGATGGGCCGGATCCAAACGTTGTCCGAACAACAGCTCGAATTCCAAGTTGAAGGCGACTCGGTACTTGAAAATGACGCAATCGTCCAGCACACCTTCAATGTGAATGAGACGACGAACCACTCGTAACGGGCTGACTACTGACTCAGCATCGCTTGATACAGAAATCGGAACTTGCCACCTCTGTCACGTCTTTCTGTACGTATCGTATTCACAACTGCGAATGGTTTATCTTGTAAGGACGACAACACGTATTACATCGCTTAAGATCCAGTCAACAACGATTGACGGCTCTTCGAACGAAGACGATTGATGTCAAGTACTGCTGTACGTCACGTCTCGAAGTTCTCCGTCCTGTCAATCGTGTTGTATGATAATTTCTGTTGACCATGTGATAGTATCACTGTGCACTCCACCTATAACACCTATATCTAGTTTTCATGCTGCCACTGCAGTCCTGGGATCCGTCATCCTCTGACTGCACGTACAGCGGGACAAGAGAAGGCGACGCAACGACACAATCAACAGTATCACCCGAAGAAGGCGCCTCAAAAGTGATAGCCACAACGACACTCAGAACTGGTCCTCTCATGACAACGTCACGAAGTTCGGTATCAACATCTCGCGATCAGGTGTAGCAAAATCCGGTGCATCTCCCATTCACGACCTTCACCTGGATGGTAATGCTCAGACATTAATCTTTTCGTGGTATAGTTCACCAATATATACAAGCGGTATATTGGTCCTCCACGCTGCCCAGACCTTCGAGATAACGACGTGGTACGGCACGAAAGACCGGAAAGCAGCAGTAGCCCGAGGGCGGCTGAAGCTTTCGCAAAACAACGACAATGCTGACATTCGCGCGCATGAAACCTGGCTATGTGATGTCAACGCACCTCAACCATTACTTACATTTCCTTCTTTGTCCATTCACCAAACATGTGCTGATAGTCTTCCAGTTGGTGCTGGAAAGAACCATACACAGACAGACATCGCACACCATAAGTTTAGTATCAAGCGCCCCATTAGCACATCGCCGATTGCATACCAACACAATTCAATCTCAACTATACCAGCATACCAAACAACCTACCTTAAGCTGAGTATTCTCTTCCATAAGGCGAAGATAAGCTTCTGCTTGACTGTCAGTCTGACGCTTGAGCGCTCTAAGAAAAGCACCACAAAGATACACACATTAGCACCATAAGAAACGAAAGGAAAAAAAGATCAAACGTAAGGAAGAACCACCACCCAAAGGTAGCAAAGCTGGACTCACTCCATCTCTTTGTCTCTCTGCAGAGCTTCCCCCAGAGCTCCTCGAAGACAGAGTTCCAATCCACGAGCGTAAGCGTCAGCTGCTTTCTTGTACATGGCCAACCCATAGAGAGCTTTGCCTTTCCTCGAGTACGTCTTGGCCCATTCCGGGTCCAACTTGATCGCTTCATCAGCATCTTCTCTTGCACTTTGGAACTGCCCCAACGCACAGTACGCAGCTGAGCGGTTACTGTATAAAGTGGCAGTGGGCTTCTCGTCGATCCCGAGCGAGTACGCGCGGATCGCCGCCTCGTAGTTCTTCAGCTTGAAACAATCGTTCCCGCGCTTTTTATGCTGCGACGCATCGTCTTGAGACGGGGCACTGCGACCTTGAGGAGTGGATGCCGACAATTGCACGTTTCTGGGTACAGCAGCAGATGCTGAAGAGGAGGAGAAGAACCAGTTCATTTGGTTTGACGGTCTCCGTTATGGCTCAAAGCAGTGCTACTATTGACTGGATGGAACTGACTGGCTCAATTTATGTGGAATACGGTCACGTGTGACTCGTATTTCGAGTGTACACACGAGTTAGGTATCGAGTTCCGAAAACTCGAGGTTTCGTGGATAGTGGTCAAGTTGACATGGAAAGAGAATGAGCGCTATTTGAGGCAAAAAGCGATCCAGAGAAGTCGAATGTACTCCCGCAACGGTTTGTTTACAAAGGGTTGAGAACCGCACGCAATGGTATGTAATGAGCTGAAGATTGAGGTATTGCCATGCCTTTTACGTGATCGTGTTGCGTTTAAGCCTTTCATGGGATGCGTTTGTACAATAGCTGTCAATATCCAGTCTCATGAAGGAGTTTGATGTTTGAGAATTGACATCGTCGTCTACTGCTGGAAAGGAGAGAAAAGCTGCACTTGTAGACCACTTAAGATCAACATCCAAGTGGTACGATAATAGTAACCAGTGCGTTGACAGTTGTGGAGTGCCGTATGCGTCAACGCAAGCACTAAAGTTTGGTGTGAAGCTCACGAGGAAGGCGGATACCGACAAGCATGTCATTGAGGATTTTCGTTTTGTTGACTTGGCACATTGCAAGGATGCCAAAGTGTATTATGAATCGCAGTGGAGAGCGCAGATATCCTGCGACAACAAGACGGCAAACGGAGTCAGTTTTGTGGACCGCACCGCCCGGGATGACTTTTCACCAATGTAGACCGAATCACAGTCGGCGCGTTTCTTCAACAGTAGATGGGAACGTTAAATTGAGACTTGTAGTTCGCAAAATCTCGTTTTCAATGTTGCCGTGACTTGCCAGCATGACGACAGCAGTGCGTTATGTGCGCTCATGTTCGCTTCTCATCGACACTCGAGCGATCAGGCGAACAAGTAGCACGCGCCTTCTTTTCTTTCCACCTAGTATTCCGGATGATACGTGTGCAACAAGGAACTCCTTGCTAGCAATAGCAAGGAGGAAACGAGAGGAATGTAGCCAAACAAAACCAGAAACAACCTGCATCCAAAAGCCATTGTTCTATCATAGCGAGCGTGTGCTGGAAACGTTGTGGACCAGTAAATGAGGGATCCTATAACATCAACACCCTTGTCTACCGTGCGCATTGCGGTCGTACCAATGTTTTAACATCACAATGCACTGGCATCAACACCTCCGTACATAGAAATAATGCAGTCAACGATGCGGTAGATCCTTTAACCCCGGATAGGTCAGAGGTCGAGCGAGTTTCATAATGCGAAAGTGTCAAGCAGACCGGTCTAAGGTCTGCAGTGATTCCATAATGGTCAAGCGAAGGGCCAATAGAGTATGCGAGTCAACCGTATCGAGGTCGTTTTAGAAGCGTTGCATCGTCAATAAGGCGCTTTATTCGGTTTCAATACCGGTATCAACACATTTATTTGGAGCGATACGTATTTAATGGAGCGCAAACGCCAGCGCGTGGCTAACGACACGACCGCGAGTCCTCCCAGTAAGCGTCTAGTCCGTGATAAGAACGACAAGCCAGAGATTCCGGTCCATTCAGAGGTCGAGAACGAACTCTCAAGCATTGACGACTTGCTGCAAAAGGAAGAGACATCGCAACGACGTAAGTCATTGAGTGCGTTCTAGTTAGAGTACTCTATTTACCTGCTGCGGTATTTTTGTGTGTGTTTTTAGAAACCTGGCAAATTGGGAAACGGGTGAAAAGGCTATTAGAGCGTCATGAGAATTTACCCATTTCGAAACAGCTGGATGCCTATTTTCTCTGGGGTACAGCTTTGGCTCGTCTAGCCTCATTAAATGAAGACCCGGCTTTAGCTGATGCAGCGGCGGACAAATTCCAGCAGATCTTGGAGCTGAGTGGAGACGGGGCGGAGCTTGCAGATTCCGTGGATGCCGCTCTGGGTCCTGTGGGTTACTCGCTCTGGGGCTCGTCGCTGCTAATTGTCGCAACGGAGACGCAGAGTCGAGAGGTACTGGACCAGGCACTGGCCAAATTTCAGAGAGCAGTGGAAGTGGACGGAGGTACGACGTTTGAGACGAGGTTCCAATACGCAAAGGCACTTAAGGAGGGAGGAGATCTGGTGACGTTCTTGGAAGAAGACGAAGGTGCAGCAGGAGATGTGAAGACAAACAGCTACTATGATAGGGCCTTGCAGGTGTGTAAAACGCTGGAAGACATTTATCAGGTGGAGTCGAGAAAAATGCAGAAGAATGACGATGAGGAGGAAAAATTGAAGGAACGTGAGGACGGAAGCAATGGTCGAGAAAAGAACGATGACGAGGAGGACAAAATGACGGTGGAAGACTTTGGTGAAGTGAGGTTACTTGAGGCTGTATTGCAGGGTTTGCTGGACGATCCGAGCAGTGTTGATAGCCTTTACCGTACTGTTGCACTTTACCAGGCGGCTATCGGTGAGTCTTTTATAAAGTTGAAATGTGTGGAAGTGGTCTGTCTGACATGTACATTTTGTTTGAAAGCACTGCATCCTGACAATGCCAAAGCCTTGATGGAGACAACTGATTATTTAGCTGCGAGGTGTCTGGCAAGCAGCAATTTCGGCACATGGCCGTCAGCAAGTGAGTGGATTAAGCTGTTCGATGGTCTGGAAGCGCAGTACAAACGCTTGCTAGCCGACCGTGGCTTCGAGCTGCAAGAGTGTCATGAAATCTGTCATCGTAAAGATACTCACGATCAGAACGAGCCAGAAGAGAAGGAGATTGATGAAGAGGTGCCCTATTTGCTCAATGCACTTGGAAAGGGCTTGACGGCATTTGTGCGGAGTTTCCCACACTTCGATGGTGATGTAGTTGAAGAAATGAAGAAATCGAAGCAAAAGTGTCCGGATGCGAGTAGAAATACACGCTTCACTCACGCAGTTGAGATACTGCGCTCGGCTCATCACTTTCACGACAAGCTTGGATGTTATTACTTGGCGTGTTTGTATGCATCGCCAGCATTCGAAGATGAGAAGGTATGCTTGGTTGAAAGCCCTGATTTGGTAGCGTTCGAATTGCTGACGATGTTTGTGATGTGTGCGTGTAGGAATGTCGTATCTGGCTTGAAACTGCGGATAGCTACGGTGCGTTAGAGGATGAGTTTGACGTCCAAGAATTTGCAACAATGCACGAGAAGGCCTGGTTCAAACACTTGGCACAGCCACCAGTCCAAGTAAAGGAGATTGAGGGTCAAGAGCAAGGAAGTAGCGAAGAGGATGACGGATAGTTGTCGCTTGATACCATGGATGTTTGATGGAGAAAGCATGGGCCTAATGAAAGATGATGTACTTGTCGTATGCCAAACAACAATTGGCTTTGCTACGTAATGAAAAACCACTACCGTTGCCATTGCCAGATAAACTCAGCTAAATACACCGTACCCATTTTATTTTGTAGGCAATAGATTAGCTCAACGATTTTCAATGCCACCTGAATCAAAACATCCAAACCTTCTCTCGCAGATCCCTCCTGCTCCAATAACCGACTACCATGCACCCTACTCATAAAAAATGTCCAGCCTTTTTACCGATCATCCGAGTTATTTCTTCTCCACGAACATGCGTCATACCAATGAACAATCGCGGCAAAGACACCCTTTATGCAATTTCACAGTTTCAACGACATCAATGCGCCGTTAAATCAGTACCTATTCCAACCAGACAGCAACTGAATGCTCGTAAACCAAAGCTGTGCACCATCCAAATACATAACTTTTGCAATCGTCTTTCTGTCCGCCCAAAATAGCAAAAATGAGCCAATCAGTATCGCCCATATCTCGAGCGTCTCCCTCCCTCTCTCCTGTCATCAAAAACGACGCCATCCCGACTCGTGGCCTCGCCTCCCCCTTCAGCAGTCATACCCGGTCACTATTTCACGTGCACCACCTCATTCCAGGCGCACTCACCTTCAAATGAAGCTCGTGCGCCTGCTCGTCGGCCTGCTCGTGGTCGCGCTGCTCTCGTGCTCCGGCAACTTGTGCATCCTCGCGTCCAAGCACAAGGGCCGCGTCCTCTACAGCAGCCTGACCGTCACTCTGCTCACTGAAGCGCTCAAGGTGCTCGTCACGGGCGGCACGCTCGTGTTCACTGGCCCATCGCCGCCCCCGCGCTTTGTATCGACGGAGACGCTGCTGTACGCCGTGCCGTCGGTCCTGTAAACGATCGAGAACAACCTCAACTACGTCCTGCTGCGCTTCATGGACGCTACGACACTCGCGGTGCTCTGGAACCTCAAGATCGTCGTCACGGCCGTGCTGGTCCGATTCGTACTTAAGCGGAAACTCTCGGAGCTGCAGCACATTGCGCTTCTGCTGCTTGTAGTCGGCGTCCTAACGAGCCAATCGAGTCATTTACGGGTGAAAGACCAAGAAGACGTGATGACCGAGGAAAGCAGCAAGAAGGAGATGCTGATGACGAGGGACTCGTTTGCTGCTGACACGAGCACTCGGGACTTTGGTCCGGGCGTGCTTTTGGTGCTCGTGGGTGTCACGCTGTCGTCCTGTGCCAGTGTGTTCACTGAGTGGGCGTTCAAGAGGAAGTCCGAGTGTCCGTTTCTGTGGCAGAGTCTGCAGATGTATTCATTTGGCGTCCTCTTCAACACTGCTGGTGTTCTGCTGGTCGAGAGCGACGACATTGTCACGAAGGGATTCTTCCATGACTTTAATCACTGGACAGTGGCTGTGATTGCAGTCCACAACATGGGCGGCATCGGCATCGGCTTCATCCTCAAGTACCTGGACAACATCGCGTGCGTCTACGCCCATTCCATGGCGATGGTGCTCACGATGCTCGCATCCATGCTCTTCTTCTCCTTCTCGCCAACGCTCGAGCTCGGCTGCGGTCTCACGGTGCTCCTGATCTCCGTGTACATCTATCATCACCCGCTGGCCGCTGCTGTCGATGCAACGGTGTCGGAAGATGCTGCAAAATCGTGTCACTCATCGACGACGAGGATGGGCTCCGATATTCAGGGAAGGAGCGCAGACTCGAACAGTGCCGAGACGGAGCGAAGGATTTCGATTAAACTGCAAGAAATGGATGATGATGACGACGATGACGATGACGATACGGACACTTGCTCCATCCTCTCGAGCTCCAGTGACTCGTTGTCGTCCATGCCACCACGATCAATGCACGGCATGCAGCTCAAGAAGACGCAATACTCGATGCTTGCAAGCGAGGCGCTGTAAAAAACGCCATGTACCATACAAAAGAACACATGATAACGGTACGACATTTTGAAAAGTGTACAAACTGCTACAGAGCTGTCCGAGATGGCTACATACGATATTCCCTTCGTGCGCCATGTGGTGCAGAATAGAAAAAGCGTGACTGCATCTCATGCTTTGTTTATAAAATGTCTCAATCCGTTCATCATTCATCGGTCGCCTCCACATACAAAACCCAAGTCATTTCTAACGCCTTCGACAGTTTTCCAATCTCAAGTGCAGCAGCAAACAAGCGGAAAAACGCGCTTGGCGTCCCCTCTCCGCGTCCCCAATGATCTCGCGTCTGCGACTGGGCGGCTCCGCCAACAACAACGCGAACAATAGCGCGGCCAGCACCAGCTCCAGCCTCTTTGGCGCCGCGGCGTCAGCGATGAGCAGCATAAGCGGCGGCGGGAGTCTCTTGCCAGGCAACAGCAGCGTCGAGAGCGCAGCCGCCGCCGCCGCGGCCAATCATGCGACAAGTACCGGCTCTGCTGTGGTCTCTGGAGCGACAGGTACCCTTTTATTGACGAGATGACGACATTTTCAGGCGTCTGATTGGTCGAGAGGCTTGTGTAGCCATGATTGGGCACGCACTGGTCGATAGCTTCAACTGCGTTTACAAAAAAGCACTTTTTTCCTGCTTTTTCTAGATGGCTACACTTGATCCGTGCATGTTTAGGATGCTGTATTGGTGTTTATTTGTGGTATCTGACTCTCTTTTTGTTATTGTTGTTGTTGTTGTTGTTGTTGTTACTTTTGTATTGTTGGTGTCGTTGTTGTGGGATTGTCTTGTACTTTGCGTGTAGGTGTGGAGACCCCCTCGACTAATGGCAAAGCTACTGGTGGAGGGTTTTTTGGCGTCTCCCGCATGGTGGCGCTCGTGAATCAGGCAAACAGGAGTCTACAGACGTCGTTGCAAGGCACGACGGCAGTTCCTGCTGGCAAAGCAGGTTCACAAACACGGGGATCGGGCTTGCAAGACGTCGATCGGGATGGTCAAGTGGTTGTCGAGATTTTTGAGAACGAACGGCTTGAAGGGAAGCTGCAGGCGATGGATCCGAAACATTTTAGTGATCACCATGCGGCACCGGGTGCCGGGCATGATGAAAGACCGGAAGGAGATTTGCCAGCTGGTCATGAATGGGTAAACGACTGGGAGATTGACCGGAGTTACACAGCAGTGGATCGTGATGGGTGGACGTATGCAGCGGACTTTGTCGAGATTGTGCGTTTGCTTGGTGATGACCTGAGTCACGCCTCGCGTCATCCCACTGACGCAGTGCGTCGTCGTCGATGGATTCGCTATCGCCAGCCTGTGGATGAAAATGCGCCACAGTCTCCGACCGAATCAGGCGGATCCAAGTCGTTAGCTTCTTCTGTTGACACAAGCAATTGGGCCGACTCGACAAACGGGCAGGGCAATGACTACATGACGGAAGACAACGATGACCCGTTTATGCGGACTGCTCAGAAGACACAGACGGGTTTCCGCGTGAACGTGACTTTTGCTCATCGCGGAAAGAAAGATAACACGAAAGACTACCAGAGCATTAGCTTGACGGACGTGATGTGGCTTGTGAATGCGCATGATGTGACAATTGCACCTACAGAAGAGTTGATGCGCGAAAAGACGGCAAATCTCGAAGAACAGATCAAGGAGGCTACTTTGCGGTCGAAGTCGCTGGAGAAAGAGCTTCGTGCTCAGCACGATAAGCAGAGTCGAGAGCTTGTCGTGCAGCAAAAGAAGTTTGATGCTCTTGTGGCACAGTACAAGAAGGTGCAAGCGGAGAATGAAAAGCTCCAAGTCACCGCATCGGAGCATCGCGTTAAAGTCGAAGCGCTACGCAAGGAAGCGGTACGTACGTGATTGGCACGAGTCGCTTAAGGTGGATAGAAGGGGTTCTCACGTGGTTACGATGTCATGTTATGATATGTACAATCTGACAGACTGAAAAAGATATGCTGGCGGTATGGATATGTATACGTACCATGGCTTATGTTGTAGCTACTGAAGTACGTACCGACGTTGAGTGTCCGTTTTGTCGATAATGTGTAGAACGAAGAACAACGCGCACTAAACGCCGAGACTGCGGCGCAAAACCAAACGCTCGAAGAAAAAGCTAAAGCTCTTGCAACTGCGCGCATGCGCTACAAGCGTGACAACAAGCGGCTTGCCATGGCAGTGGAGGAAGCAAAGAAGCGTCTCGAGCAGCACAAGGCCCAGGCCAACATGGACTCGCAGGATCCTGTCGCTAAGGATCTGAAGACCGAAATGGACAAGGTACGACAGCTTTACGCTAAGTTGGAGGCCGTTCGTCAGCACCGTCTGGTTGTCGAGGAAGAGAGCAAGGCGCTGTTCAACCAAGTGGTAGAGAAGAAAGCCGACTTGAAGTTCAAGTCAAAGAAGAAGGTATGTCCGCTGCTACTATCTCCGAGTGAGGTCATTTTGTTGTGTAAGGCTATGACATTAATGGCTGGTTTGTGATTGCTGTAGATGGAGACAGCTTTGAGCGAGGTGGATGCTAAGATCAGTACTTTGAAGGAGGAACAAGCGTCGCTGTCAAAGAGCCTAGCTCAAAAACCTGAGGGCGATGCTTTGCGCAAGATAAATGCCCGAAGGAACGACATCAGAAGTGAAATTGGTGCATTGAAAGAGAGACGGACTATGCTGCTTGCAGAGAAGCGGAAGCAGGATGGCGTCGAGCTGTAGATTCTGCTGAAATGGTGCCAGTATGCCGTGTTTGATGATGGCCATGTTACATATGTCTGAAGAAAGTGTCAAAGGTTGGTTAACGAGCTATTATTGAGCAGTGTAACTTTTCTGATGTTCTCCTGACCACCTGCGTGCTTACACAGCCTACCGCTTGACGACTTCGCCATTCCTAGCCCATTCTTCGGGCCAAAACTCCTGTTATACCGGACCAGATCGGTGCACTGCAGCGATAGCGTCGTCGCGAACATTGACTTCCTGATGCGTCACATCGTTGGTCTCTCCACCCGCGATATATCCAGTGACGAGCACAGCGTCTCAATGGCAACGTCCAGCAAGTCGTCCAGCACGAAGGCAACGTTGGAGCCGAAGCAACTGACATTGAGTACCTGCGTATCCGTGCTGCAGCCCGACATTGCTGCCACCACACCAGTCTCGTCGAAACCATACGTTCGTCCACTGAGTTTGATCGCCCGCCACCGATCCGGTGACACGATCAGCGAGTTGTTCTCGAACGATGGCACACAACGCACATCCATGATGAGACTAACCTCCTCAGCTGTCTCGCAGCAGCACCAGAATGACATCTCTCCTGACGCAGATCCACTAGACGACAAGACGAGTTGCGTGAGCCCGTAAGCACTCGCCCGAAGAGCGTCCTTTTGAAGTCTCACGAGCACAAACGACTCGGAATACACTGCAACAAGATGCAAGCACGCGGTCGTTAACACAGCACTGGAAAGTCAACAGCAACGTGACAGCATGCGTATCAACTCAACCCTCGTACCTGTGAGGAACTGGCCGTCTCCTACACGAGGAAGTTCCAGAATGGCCGCCTCGTCACTTCCTTCCTCAGCATCAGTTGTTGTTGCTACCTGATCATGATCAAGTAGTGCGCTCTCTGCATCTCTTGCCTAAGACCCACAGCAAAGAAAAGCATTCATGCACATCATCAAACCTCGCCACATGTGAGATACGTCCCCGTCCAACCCGCACCTCTTTCAAGCCGTGTAATCCACGAGACAGCTTCGACTGCAAACACAAGATCGCCGCGTCCAAATCCACTTCTTGAACAAACATGACGTCCGTGTCGTACGTGCTCATGTTGAGGATACTAATGCGTTCGTCAGCAAGCAGCTTGGACAAGAAACTCACGACACCCGGAAACTCCGCGACCATGGGCCCCAAGTGGATCTGCGCAACAACGTCATTGCAAACATGAAAACTACAATCCGATCGACCACGTCTGGTTACCAGACAGCAATGCACGTCGATTGAAGGAGTGTCCCCAGTGCTCACCTGAATAGCCCGCCAAGACAGCGGTGCGACGGTAATCAAGTCCCCCATGCCCTTCAAAACAACACCACAAAAGACAGCAGTCAACACATTACACGATCAGCAAAAAAACAGCTCCTCAAGCTCGGTACAAAACAGCGAAAGCTCCATGATAAATAACGTCTAAACCACGTACGGCACGTCGAAACATCTCAATGCCATTCGGGTCCATAAACAGCGTCACGCCTTCTCGGTCCGACACCATGGAGAAGATTTCCGTCACCATCGAGCGACACACGTGGCTGTCTGTGCGCCGACAGCCGCGCTCATTATCGTCAAAGCTGCAGCCACTATACAGCAACAGACTGGCAAACAAACACACCAAAAAAACACACGTAAAAGAACGCGTTCAACACCTCCCAGCAGCCTTAACTGTCGGTATAACCCGAAGGAACCCGCCCAATACAGAGACAGCTCACGCACTTGAGCAGCGGCCAGCTACTGCGATAAATGTGCTCTGTCGGCACGAACACGACGCTCACGAGACCTGCAGCACACACACACAATCAAACAACCAACCAAACAAACAATCAATCAATCAATCAAACAAACGCAATCAAACAAACAAACGCAGCGTAAAAGACGCCGTGGCAGTCAGACGGCCTAGAGCCAATCCGTGGATAGAGACATGAACACAAAAGCAGTACCTGGCAATAGCGTCGCGTGGAAGTTCGACGTGGTTACAATATCCACCATCCCGTGAACGAGCTCGCGTCGTGTTTGGTCCAATCGGTTGTCCAGTCGGTGGCACAACTTTTGACTGGCCGCCACCAAGCGCACTCGGTGCCATGAAGGACGCGACGAATCAGAAGCTCGAGGCGCTCGTGGCCAAGGCAGGCGTGCCCAGACGCGTGCTAGAGGACCCGGAGCTGGTCGTGTGTGACGACGTCTGGACATACGAGCGCGCGAGACTCGCAGAGAAGCATCTGCAGCAGGACAAGTCGACGATTCCCAAGTTCTGGCAACGTAAGTGAGTGATTGGTGGAAAATCTGTCGACTCTCTTGTGGTATTATTACTAGATGGAGGTTGCGTTGTGTGGCACTAGACAAGTACGAAACGGAGGCGGCCAAGAGCTGGGACAAGTTTTATCGCCGCAATTCGAGTCACTTCTACAAGGATCGACATTATCTCCACGTGGTGTTTCCAGACCTGGGCGTGGCTCCTCCTGAGGACGGTAGAACAAGCACGTTGCTGGAAGTTGGCAGCGGAGTTGGGAATGCCGCTCTGCCGCTACTGGAGGTGAATCCAGCGCTGCGTATTGTGGCGATCGACTTTGCCGGTTCAGCTATTGAGCTGTTGAAGGTAAAAGCGGGTGCACTTGTGTCGTGCTGGAAGTATCTTTTTTTCAAAGAGGTCAGTGTTGGAAGGGACTTACTCGGATGCTACTTGGTCGTGGGATGTTGATGCTGTAGCAACAACCTCTGTACGACGAAACTCGCGTGCAGGCGTCGGTCTGTGACATCACACAAGACGATCTCCCTGCAGCAGCTTTTGCACACGGTGGCGTGGACTTTGCGCTGTGTTTATTTTGCTTGTCGGCTTTGCATCCGGACAAGATGAAGCTCGCTGTGAACAAGGTCGTGGCTGCGATCAAGCCTGGTGGAAAAGTCTTTTTTCGCGACTATGGCCGATACGACCAAGCGCAGCTTCGGTTCCGGCCTGGTTGCAAGCTGCAAGATAACTTTTACGTCCGTCAGGACAACACGCGGGCGTACTACTTTACGACGGAAGAGGTGGAGGACATTTTTACAAGCGCTGGCCTTGTTGTAGTCGAGAACGAGTACATCCGTCGCCAGTATGCTAACCGACAGCAGAACGTTGTGCGCTTTCGCGTATGGGTACATGCTATCTTCGAGAAGCGTCTCACGACCAAAACACCATGTGAGAAGCAAGTAGAAGACGACGGATGCTGATGGCAGAGCTCATGTGAGTTGCGCTTCTACTACTGCAAATATGTACCTGGAACTGTTTGACAACTATTAATCTACAGTCCGCAGTTCCGAATCGACGAAGACGCTGGTACGTTTTCTATACTGAAAACAAAAAAAATGCGAATCGATGATTTGACCACTTTCATCTACAAGCAGTGAAGTGTACGAAACTTGACGTTGTTGTGGTGCAGTAGGACAGCCCGTCACTTAGGAGGCGTATGTTTACGTCAGAGATTGACAAGACGAAGTCAGTACGATCCTCGAAGAATGCAAGCGCGACCTAGATATCTATCTACATCCCGTGTGACCGTGATGACATACCGAGTGTGAATCTATGTTAATTTGCATGGCATATTGAAAGTGTGTGGAAACATGTAGGCTACTGAGCGATTCAGTCGTCAAAAAAACAGGCAAAACATACCCAATGGCGCTTGTACAGACACGCCTCACACACGATGCATCAGTCACTTGCCACGATTCCGCTTGACGTTAACGCAGACACGAGAGTTGGGCGTACGTCTTCGCATAATACAGAAACTCCATGTCCCATGTCCCATGTATGATACGGAAGCCGTTGGGTATCATCAGTATTCGGCATTCGTAATTTGACGAGCCCGAAACGAATTCGTGGCTTTTAGTCGCTACGCCATTGCAACGTTTGGTGATAACTTTGTACTCCAGCATTGTGACTTCTCCAGCATCGGATCGAGCAGCTCGTTTTCCACGATCAACACCCATTCAGTGCGTCTATTTGTGTAGCTTTAGTCTATGATTAGACTCAGTAGCACTCAGTCAATCTACTGACCTACACGCTCAATCTTAGCGGTAGACTCTCCCCTGACGTGCTGGATGGCGGCCAATACGTAGTCAACCACGTGAAAACGGACAATCAGGTTGAGATGGTCCCACCAGTAGCTTACCGATGTCCATATTCCACCCTTTCCTGCTTCAGCGGTACCTGAGTAGAAAGTGGAATGTCCACTAACAGCAAAAGTGCCCATGACGTAAAAACGATCCCTGCACACGGCAGCAACCTTGATCAGTATAACAGCGACACTTGTAGAGCAGCGCAATTCGTACATGGTTGATCCTCCCAAGTCCTTATTTAGAGCCCGAATCATGTTGTCCGTTCGTAAGACGAACAACATGTCTCTCGGAAGTTGTTCGAGAAAGTCAGTAACCTGATAGCCATAATGCTAGTAAGTCCACTGTAGCCTTTATAATGCAAACTCGCACGACAAAGTTAACACGTACGCTCGATACATGCATCGTTTTGAGATCCTCGGAAAGTTTCTTGCGCTCCGACTGGCTCATTGCCGCATCAGGACGTCCCTTGCTATTAATCATCCGGGACGTAAACAGCAGCGGCAAGTATTTCGTAACCTCTCCAATGTTTAACCGTCGGCCACAGTCATCCAAGAGAACACTGTCACGTAATAGCATTGCTCTCCACAAATCGCAGTAAGCTTTACGGAAATTCCGATCGAATTCGCGGTATAATCCATGGTCCAGCAAGACGAGCTGCTCTTTGCGCTTGCCTTGAGGATCGGGATTACGGCGTACGAAGATGTTCCCCGCATGCGGATCGCAATGTACAAAGCCATGACAAAATACCATTTCGCTGAACACTTCACACAGTAAGTGTGCAACTTTAGGCGGGTCAAGGCCGAGTTCCTTCATAGCCTCGACTTGCGATATCTTCGGTGCATCGATAAACTCCATCGACAATATCTTCTTCGTGCTCAGCTCGTCGTACACGATGGGCACATGAACCGAGCTGTTGTGTTTCAAGCAAGCTGCAATGCGCCGACTATTTTTCTTCTCGTTCTCAAAGTCTAGCTACGCGTGACAAGAGTTAACACGATAGCAACAAACCAACAACAACAACTCAACCTAGCAACAATAACGTACTTCTGATAAGAGCGCACTCTCGAAGTCGGGAACGAGCCACTGGATCCGGACGTCAGGAAAAAAGTACTCGGTCAGCTGGAAGGCCCACTTGATAACCCGGATATCAACCTTCATCTGCGACTCCAAGTGATGATACTGGACCTTGACCGCCACTTCACGTCCAGCGTGATCGACTGCCTGATGGACTTGTGCGAGCGATGCACAAGCGATTGGCGTCTCGTCAATTTCCTGGAACAGTTCCTGCCACGGCCGTCCAAATTCTGTCGCAATGGTCTTTTCGACCATCTTGAACGACACGGGCTTGGCTTGATCCTGCAGCTGGGCCAGAGTCTCCGTGTACTCCTTGGGCAACCCGTGATTGAACGTCGCGAGTTGCTGACCAAACTTTATATAGATACCTCCATTCTGGTAGCACAAGTGAAGGAGTCGATGGGCGATGCGCTGGTTGAGACTCTGGAGCTTGGGGCGGTAGCTCGGATCGTCTCTCTCGGTCCCTTGAAAGTGCAGCCGGTAGTCCCACATGACTTGACCCCCAGTGACTAAAAGCCGCAGCGACCGGGACCAGACTTTGCTGTTTCATAGCAGAACACGAACGAGTGAACGGGTGGTGGGACTGAACGATGAAAAAAAAAAAAAAAACGGTTTGAAACAATCACGTACGCCTGGATCTCATCAGCTGCGTAGACGCCGCCAAGGAGCAGCGAGAGCGTGGCAAGTGGTTTTCTCGCACGGACGAAGAGGAGGTGGGGTATCATTATTACAACCGATTCGGGGATTCAGGTTGGTAGGTTGGTTCTGGGCTGAAGGCGACCGTCCAGTTGGGTTCGTTTCGGATGATGCTATTGTGGGTTGGATCGGAGGTTTTTTATTATCAGTAGTAGTGGTAGTAGCTGTTCACGAGAGGTATTCGTGGAGCCAGCAGAGAGGCACAACTACAGCAGCATCATACAACGCGTCATATCAGTGCAATAACGACCGAGTCGAGATGTAAGGTCGGTCATATGGCAAAATCGAGACCATTTCGTTCGACCCGTTATTGGCAAAGGTCGAGTTTATTGAATGGGCTTCGACTGCAGATGCCGTTCGGGTGGAAGCCCAACACACAAGTTGCCGGTGATAAATGAGATGCGACGGCACCTGGTTCAATAAGGTGAGCCCACTTGTAATCAAGACCAGTGTTTTGCGATGTTCTTTGAGATGCAACGTGCCGATACTTCCTGGATGATTGGTGTCGTACCACGAGCACTTGGCGTTTGACTAGCTAGTTGGTACGATGCTGCAAGAAATTGCCAAGATGCAGCATCAGCAACAGCAGCCATTGTCCTCAGCGCTACGAAGCACGAGCTTTGATGAAGTTGCGTGCCTTTGTTGCAGGACGCAACATGCGACGAAGATGATCTATCCACGCGGACAAAATGGCTACATTTGCTAATTCACGCCGTTAAGATGTTCAATACTTCATGAGTTTGGTCATACACGTGCGACACGAGTGGCTGCATCTCTCGTCATGATGACCCATCTTCAGCACGCTTCTTTGCTATTTACAACGCCATAAATTTAGCAAGACGGCCCTGCAAAACTCGAATCGATTCGTTTGCTGAAGCAACACCCAGGCGCCGAAGTTGAAGTGTCCATTCACCTACAATAGTTGTAAAACCATCATGAACAGATAGCAGATCCCGGAGGTTATCAACTCCATTTAAAGGGCAGTGGTCGGGACCGACATTTCTCGTAGTTTTCGGAGGATGAACCGAACACATCGTTAAAGTGAAGCAGGATGGCTGCGCCGATTGTGCGGTGTCACGATTAGAGTGAGTAAAAATATAGATTCACTCTAGTCAGCACGGTGCAAGACGTTTTTGATTTGTTTCATTCGTAATTGGTTTCTGACATGGAAATAGCCTTCGCTCGGACTTTGTCGCTGCACTACATACTCTCAACACATACGATAACACTTGGTACAGCTTGTGCCCATTCGTCCTTGATCGTTCTTGAGGAAGGGAGAGACTGTTGTGGTCCAAGACGAACTTTACACGCAGTCGTTTCTGCCGACAAGGAAAATGCCGTCGATCGATCTTTCGCAGCCGGCCTCACCCGTAATGGGGCTCCTGATAGGACCGGTTCCAACGCCATCGTCCGTGCCGTTGTTACTGTTGCAAACACACATAGAGAGAAATACACACACATTAGCATTACAATGTCCTGATTGCTCAAGACTTGGATAGACTTACCTCCAAAAGAATGTCCAGCAGTCGTCGTCAACGACTAGATCGTTCTTGGACGGCCCGTCGCATGTATACGCAGAGCACGTGCCGTAAGGGTAGCCGTGGTTGCCATCGTACTGGTGATCCGTCACGAACACAGCATAAGTCTGCGGAAGGTGGGTGCGCGTGTTGTGCGAGCACTCGGCAGCCTGGATTGCCTTGGACACTTTAGTTACTTGACAATTGTAGTTGCCTGGGCGCATGCCTTTCGTGTTGGTGTAGGCCGGCGCGAGCGTTGCTGACACGAAAGCGGGAGCAGTGAGAAGAGCGAGGGCGAGAGTACAGCGCATGACGATTTTGCGGAGAGGAAGGGAGGAAGTTGTTGCTTGGTGAGGTATTGCAAAGTGACATTGTTGGTCTCGTGACAACGAGTGCGCCTCGTGCTAGGAACAGCTCTGTTAGGACAACACGCCTGTCATTGATTGCCAGACAAAGTCCACCGTGCGATCGACCGCATGTGTTTTCGGGTAAGAAAGTAACAGATGAACAAACAATTGACACGCTAGCAATGCTATGGCAAGTGCGACTTCAGGTAGGGAGGAATAGAGCAGCTTTTATGAAAGCAGTCATGGTCATCATTCGCGGCAATACCGTCGGTTTATAGGTTTGTGTCTGTGCTAACACTGAGCCATCAAAAGACTGCATCAGGCACAGATAGTGCTACGCTTTGTGCGTGCATCGAGTAGCTAGAGCGCGACCCAGAGAGGCACCAATTATCACGATGATAAGCCACGGTAGTAAACGCTCTTTTTAGTAGAGGATCTCCATCCTTCTGAAGTGTATGAGATTCGTGTTCGCGTGGTTGTTCGACCTGACGAAGTAAGAGAAGCACATGACCGATTCCAGCTTCCTAGATGGCTTGACGCTGGTATTGTAGTGTCGTTAAACATGATAGTAGGAATTTGACACATGGTCGAACTCCTATGCTAGCCTCTCTACCTCAATCTGGTAGACATTTCTTCTACGTGCCGCGCGCATGAGCGTTTCATACTGGCCCGGCTCGAACGACTAAAGGTTGATCTGTACATGCACAGCGCTGTACACTCTTTTCTCCTCGCTACGTTCTAATTGAAAGCAAATGCAGTCACATGACTAAAGAATTTGACAGCACGTGACGCTGTAGAAGCAGTATCATCGTATGTAAACAAAGCAGCTACGAATGAACGTCGATTGAGTGGATCAGTTGAACAGTCACATGTTCCCGAATTCCAGTTGGACCGTGATGACCGAACGTCTGGCCCAGCTGCTTCCAGCCAAACAGACAACTGGCCCGACTTCACACTGTCCACATGTCATACATAGACTCTACAGTTAAGTGCTGTCATCTTTTTACTGCAGATATCGCGACAAAACGATCTGATCTCGTTTTTGCGGTATCGTTAAACGAACTCGGCGTGCCACAAGACTGCTAGTGTCGAGCCGGTCACCTTTATAATAGGAGTCACTACGTATTTTTTGGCGAATGCTAAACGGCTGCATTTATTTTTATTTGGCTGGCTGATTTGCGTGCAGGGTAAACTGAACAACATGAGGTTCGAACCTCATGTTGCTACGTCGTTAAATGACCAGTCATTTGTCAGATCCGACCTGTGGTGACCCCCTAGCCAAAGAGTTTTCTCGTGATGGATCTCCGTTTTCGCATCTACTATGTAGGGTCAACTCCGGTTGGGTCAGTACTTGTGTCTTCATCCGTGCAAAGATCCCGGCGATATGAAAGCCCTTTCGCGAGATCGCGAATGCTAAAGTTTACACATTCGCTATCCAACTACGATCGCTAATCTTTACGTCTCAGTTTACATGGCTAATGTTCGAGTAGAGTCGGTTGCGGCGATTCCAACATTTACAAATTCGGTAATTGCTATAGTGGGTGAAGTATCATTCAAGAGCGCGCCACTCAACTTTTGTAGACGTGAGAGACCGTCCTTTGTGAGCGATCGCAATTGCTTCAATGCATCATGGTTCGGTGAACGTGGCTGGCTATGAAGCTAGGTGTTGAGGCGAGCGTTCACGCCCAAAATGACGTAAAGACGACATATTTCTCGGAAGAGAGCTCTAGCAGCAAGAGAGTAAGGACTGGAGTAGGATTATAGCCCCGTATTGCACTAACATCGTCATTTTAATCTTTACACTGGCAATTGAGTGAATATTTGTACCGGATTGAATAGACATGATCTATTCTTCATCAAATTAGGTGTAAGTATTAGATGCCTCTCCAACAAAAAAATAACAAAGCTGAGCAAAAAAGGAAGGCGGCCGTTTAGCATTTGCCTTATTTTTTAGCCAAGTCGCAGTTTTGTTGCGAATGGAACTCATCGTATATTACATCTGTTATTAACCTAACTTGATTCGCAGACATACATCTCCAATCCCGGGAAGGCAGCTAATACAATCGTACAGTTGGCTGTGCACACAGGATTTGAAAATAAGCCGTATTGCGTAACTTAGAGCATCTTCAGTGGTCTTGGGATGTACCTGACAAAACAGCGAATAGGGCCATCCAAGTGGTGCTTACACGGTAGGCCTTTCGAAATCACAAAAAAGTATCGGCCTGCCCTTTGGAAATTCCATGGACCGACTGGAAGAACGGGCGGGGCGGGACGAATGGCAACGCGCTGCACTATTTCAAACACCAAAGCAAGTATGGGACCATTGTCAGGGCCTAGCGGCCTGACAGGTCCGGACGGGATATCGAATCGCGTCGAGGCTACTCCATTTGCATCATGCAGGGCAACTTGCGGACAGTACATGTCGTAAGCAACCGGGCTGTCGGGGAGAAGGGGAGACATTGGCGCACTTGTCTGGTATGCACGTACGCCTCAGCCTTTAGAACAATCTGGTGGAGCATTGGGCGAGGGAACGTGCATCACGCTACAAAATGGATTGCTTTTTTAGCGCGTGTGTCAGCAGACAGGTCGGTAGCGTACCCGCAAACCGAAAGGTCCTCCTAGAGGACCGTTTCCAGGATGATTGGGAAGAGGCTGAGCGTATGTGGGAGCGAATATGGTATACTTTATCGACGATGTGTCAAACTTCGCTATGAACAGACCGGAATGACGTAGTTAATTAGGCTGTCACGAAGGACATCACAAGCGCCAGGACCAATTTGTTGGATACGTGCATCCGGCAAGTACGCGCAATAGCGCTACGAGAGCATAGCATCATGTAATCGAGCATTAGGAGTTTCCACGCTGTATGCATGCATCGAATGACTCGAGCATGAAACGAGAAGGTTGCTAGGCTGTACAGGGGCTAGCCCTCGTAAGACCTCGGATCATCCGGCACTGTCAACGCGGATACGGCATTTCCAGAGATCTTGCAAATAGTTAATTTAGTGTAAATCGACCATTTACAACAACAACAACGACAACAGCATCTTCAGTGATGACTATCACTTATCTATTTGCACACCAATATGAAATCACTATAACTTCCGCTCAGCCTTATAAGCTTATAAACTTCACAGCAATTGGTGTCGTTTTAACATTAGTCTGTTTTCGGCTCAATGTGTTTGGTACAAGTTTGGTCGCTTTCATCATCGTTTAGTACGATAAATGTTTCACGACAGCTTTACCAGTATTGATTCAAACTCGTTGTGGCTTTCAAGTCTATTTCTTTGGTCGAATATCTGCAGCCAGTGACATGCAATTGATCTTAGCCGATGATCTGATTTGTTTTAAATTCCTCAACCGATGGCATGCAATCTCAAAATTTATCTCGGGTGTCGCAGAACTGCATTCGAATTAGCGGGTTAGCTAAGAGCAACCTTTTCTCGAGTCATTCCCCAAGTTCTTTCGCTGTTCTGCCGTGCTTTCATTAGTATAAGACAATAAAGTTTCTCTCATCGAAGCAAATTTTAAGATGTACTGACTACTCGAGATGCTCTTTTAAAAACCAATGATAAGAACAAGAATGAAATCAGAAGGGGCTAATGGTACTTTATCGCGTTCAAGAAGTTGGTACAGGCATAACTCATTTGCCAAAAATCGTTGTTTCTTATCTCTATATTAGTCATGGCTGTAGTATCGTCTTACTAAGCAGCAAAGTAAGAAGATCTAATATTATTTCGCGCAACGGCTGCATGTAGCTTCCTGACGAACCTTACAGTAGTTTTTATTGTAGATTGTCGATCACTTGCAAGTAATTCGTGCAAATCGTTGGCCGATGTAAAAATTAAAACCGACGGGACGCTTATCATACGTAGGTCTTTCTTTCACCGACAACAAGATCACGCATATATGCGGCGCCAAAAACTGATCGCATTCACGGCTGCAAGCTCCGTTTCTAGAGCTCAATCTTGACACGATTATTTAAAAATGAGGTGACAGAAAGCTATAGCAATACGTACAAGTGCACTCGTTGAATACGACATCATACGCTGAATTACCAACAAAAATGTGATATCAACTTTTAGCAAGCGACAAGCAGGTTGGGAAGTATCCGACAGCATGGTCTTAAGACATGATCCAGATGATGGCATTACGCACACATAATTCATGGATCTGCGTGGTTTAAATGAATAACTCACACGAACCCCTCCGTTGCGAGCAAAATCATTTGTTTATCGCAACTTACTAGCGCGCGAGGCTTTACCACTGCTTGCGACCCCGTATTTTAAGTCTGGCTTTAGCGCTATCTCGTGTGTGCTTATATCTAACGTACTAAAGGTGGTAATGCTTGGATACATCTGTACATTTGTAAAAACGTTTAATGTGGAGTATTTGACTTTACTCATTCCGATTTTTTTAGACGTGTACGCCTCATCTTAGTGCCTATATACAAACTAGATATCTATAAATAAGCTACTGATTAGTCGCTTGATATTGACCAAATACATAATCGTCGTAATATTTGTGCCGTATTTGTTCTTCGCGACTACGCGGTTCTGCTTCAAATCTACACTGCGAGATAACATTTTCGGTTCAAGCATTACAAAAATCAATTCATACTAAAAAAAGGTAGGTATGGATTATTGTTGTAGTGTTGAAGCTTATACACGAGACCATTATAAGTCGATAAGTTTTATTCGTATCGTTTATCTACTGATGACTCATTTCATAAGGTTACTGGGCAACTATATGCATAGCGTTTACATCTCTAAGCTCCTACCCCTCAATTATATGATAGTGACCTTTTTCATAAACATTCTCCAGCCATTATTACACAGATACTGCGGGGTTCTCTACTATAGTCGCTACTCAGATCACTCGTAGGCTTGATGCAGACAAATTCAGAATCAGTCAAATTATGATCTACGTAAATTTATGCTTCACATTTTTGTGAAAAAGGAAAA